ATGGGGGGGGGAGGAAGGGGAGGCTATAGGGAGATAGCAGGCTGTGGGGGGGCTATAGGGAGGGCTATAGGGAGGGAAATAGGGAGATATGGGGTTATTGGTAGCAATGGGGGGCCATAGGGGGGTTTAGAGAGATGGGGGGCCATATGGGGGATACAGGGAGATAGGGGGCCAAGGGGGGGTTTAGGGGGATATAGGGGGCTATGGGTTTATAGGGGGGACCACAGGGGGAGGTGGGGCTGGAAGGCCCAGATATAAGCACAGATAGAGGCTATGGAGCTCCGGGGGCTGCAGGAGGGACACAGGAGGCTATGGGGGAACTGCTCCTGTGCGACACACAGCCCGCAGGGCAGCCATCCTGAGAGCCTCTCTCAGGAACGGGATTACGGAAAAAATACGGGAAGGAACCGAAACTCACCTTCCAAAAAGGCAAACTCGTCAACAGCTTCGATGGCGTTATCTGCGGAGGGAAAGGACAGAGGCTGACAAAGCCGGCGCTGCTTTGTGCGCGCCCAGCGCCTAACGACAGCAACGGCTGGGCGCAGCAGCCGAAATCGGCATCGCTGCTCTCCCCATCATCGCTGCTCTCCCCATCAATCGCTGCTCTCCCCATCAATCGCTGCTCTCCCCATCATCGCTGCTCTCCCCATCAATCGCTGCTCTCCCCTTCGGAGCCGCCGGGACCCCCGCGCCCCGCGCCGTACCCAGATCCTTCCTCTGCAGGGTTTTCCTCTTGCCCTGCTGGGCGTACACAAAGGCGTCCTTAGCGATGGTTTCCACGAACAGCTCCTGCGGGCACAAAACGCGCAGCGTCGCACGGAGGGACGGAACGGAACGGAACGGAACGGAACGCCGCCCCGCCCCGCACCGCCCCGCGCTCCTCACCGCGGCCCGCGCCAGCACGAACACGGCTTCCTGGCTGGCCAGACCGACGTCCGGGTCCGCCTTCACCAGCGCCTTCACGCGGGACAGCGGCAGCCGAGCGGCGCGGCCCGATCCCGCACACGGCGCCGCACCGCCCGCATCTTCCGCCGCCGCCTCCGTTCCCCCCGCCGCCGCCGCCGCCGCCATCCCGCGCCGCGCATGCGCAGTGCAGCGCCGCGCCGCCGGGCGGAGCCGCTCCCAGCGCTCGTTTCCGCACCGCCGGGATCCGCCGCTGGGGGGCGCTGATCGCGAGACCCGAACGCGGTGCTCCGAGCTCCTCGTGTCCCGAACGCGGCTCCGCTCCCATCGCTGTCCCCAAATGCGTCCCTGCATCCAGTCTGTGCCCCAAACCGCGCAACCGTAGGATGGGCTGGGTTGAAAAGGACCGCAGTGATCAACAGTTCGGACCTGCGTGCGGGTCGCCAACCACAGAATCACAGAACGGCCAGGGTTGGAAGGGAGCTCAAGGATCACGAAGCTCCAACCCCCTGCCACATGCAGGGCCACCAACCTCCACATTTCACACCACCCAGGGCCCCATCCAACCTGGCCTTGAACACCTCCAGGGATGGACGGGGCATCCACAGCCTCTCTGGGCAGCTGTTCCAGCACCTCACCGCTCTCACAGCAAAGAACTTCCCCCTGACATCCAACCTCAATCTCCCCTCCCTCAACTCCAAACCTTGTCCTGCAGTTATCAACCCTTTCCAAGAGTTGAGTCCCCTCCTGTTTATAGGCTCCCTTTAGGCACTGAAGAGCCCAGCTCCCTCAGCCTGTCTTCATAGGGGAGGTGCTGCAGCCCCTGCTCGTCTTTGTGGCTCCTCTGGACCCTCTCCAACAGCTCTCTGTCTTTCTTGTACTGGGGCTCCAGCCCAGGCTGCCCAGAGCCACATCCAGCCTGGCCTTGAATGCCTGCAGGGATGGGGCATCCACAGCCTACTTGGGCAACCTGTTCCAGTGCCTCACCACCCTCTGGCTGAAAAACTTCCTCCTAATATCCAACCTAAACCTCCCCTGTCTCAGTTTAAGACCATCCCCCCTTGTCCTGTCACCACCCACCCTCACAGCCGTTCTCCCTCCTGTTTATACGCTCCCTTCAGGTACTGGAAGGCCACACTGAGGTCTCTCCCTCCATCCTCCCTGTGCCCCAAACACACCTCCCCACCCTCCCCGTGTCCAAAGCATGGCCCTCCATTCACTCTACACCCCCAAACACAGCCTTCCATTGTCCCTGTGCCCCTAAACTCATCCCTCCATCCACTCAATGCCCCAAACACGGCCCTCCATCCATCCTATTGCCCCAAACATGGCCCTTCACTCTTCCTGCACCCCACATTTGTCCCTCCATCTGCTCCATGCCCCCACACAGCTCTCTGTCCTCCTTGTGTCCAACCTTGGATCTTCATCCATTGTGCCCCATACACAGTCCTCCAACCTCTCTGTTGGAGCCTCAAACACAGCTCTCCATCCTCCCTGTGTCCCAAACATGGCCCTCCTTTCACTCTGTGTCCCCAAATTCAGACCTCCATCCACCCAATGCCCCAAATATGGCCCTCCATCCTCCCTGTGCCCCAAATACGGTCCTCCATCCATTCTCTGCCCCAAAACCCAGACCTCCATGATCCCCACGCACAGCCCTTCTTCCACTCTATGACCCAAACTCAGCCCTTCACTCTTCCTGTGCCCCAGACATGGCCCTCAATACTCTCAGTGCCCCAAACACAGCCCTGCAGCCCTCCCAGCCCCCCATTACCCAGACACCTCCTTGGTGCCCCCCAGACACCCCTGCCCTCCCATCCTCTCCAAACGGCACTGAGGTTCCTGTCCTCACCCCTGTGATGAGAAGTGATCACCACTGAATCCCCCCCTACCCCCACCCCCAAACTCAGCCTTTCAGCCTTCCTTTCAGTCCCTCCAGCTCCAACCCCACAGCGTCCCCTGAGCTCTCCTTCCTCACCGCCGTCCCCAAAGCTCTGCAGGCAGGAGGCGGTGGGGACTCCCGGCCCCAGGATGTGGCCCGTCGGCTCCCATTGGGTTTGGTGCTGCTCACCACCCCTGGAAGTCCCCACGGCCACGGATGGGGCTCTGCTCAGCCGGGTCTGCCGGGGTGGGCGTAAAGATCCCCTCAAATCTGAGCCCTTCCGTAGTCCTGTGCCGATCCTACGGCCTCGGGTCGCTCCCAAAGCCCACGTTCGTCTCTGGGCGGGGCAGCAGCAGCACCCGATGTCCCCACCGACGGCACGGAGCCGCTCCCCCCCAACTCCCCCCCCCAGCCCTCCCCACCTCTGTGCAGTCAGGCCGCAGCCGCTTCCTGGCCGTTGCGCACAGCTCCTTGCCAACCCAGCGTTAGGAAAGAGCTTCTGCTTTCAGTGCCGGGGAGCTCCGCTGCCGCCGGAGGTGCTCACCTCCCTCTGCTCGGCCGGCCGCGATGGCGCTCAGGAGGGAGGAGAACTCATAGGCAGCGTCCGTGGATGGGAAATGGTGAGTGCGAGCTGCGCCGGGATGCGTGCGGGAGAACCGGGTCCGAGCCGCACCCGCACATCCTCACAGCCACACCGGGATGGGGTCAATCAGAGCTCCGGAGCTCCCTGAGCAGCTCCCGGGGTGGGTGAACGAGCGGGCAGCACCGGGCGGGGCTCAAATATATCAGAGAGGAGAAGGCATCGCAGTGCCGAAAACGCTGCGCCGGTCGCTGTGACAGCGGTGCCGTTCCCCGACGGTGTCACCGCGGGCAGCTCCGTGTCCCCGTTCACAGAACGGCTCTGATGGTCACAAACACCGGAAAGGTTCACATCCCAAACCCCACGGCGTGCTCGAAGCACTGCAGAAATTTCCTTTTTTCACCCTTTTTTCGTTGCCTTGCGTTGTAGGACGCGGACAATGTGCGCTACTGCGCCCTTCGCGGGCAGTGCCCGGGGACGAGGGGGCACCTGTCCCCATTTAACACCTATTTAATGCCCCACATTTGAGCTCTCACATTGAGCTCTCATTTTCACATCTGAAAATGTCGCGCTGGCTTCTCTGCGCTCCGGCCCTTCTGTTGTGAAAGACAACGAAGTGATGCAAGCGCAACCCGAACCGAAATCCCGAGAGGAGAAGAACTGCAGAGCCCAAGCGGGTGGAGCAGAGCCCCGCTGTGCGCAGTGCTGCGACCCGGGGTGGGGGGGAGAAAGGAAAAGGGAGATGAGGAGGAGGGGAGAAGTTCACCTCTCCCCCTGGGCAGGGTCCATCCGGGTCGGTACCCGCGATGCTCGTGGGACAGCCCCGCGCCGCGGCCGTGCGCCCCAGTTCTGTGCGCCCATCGCGGGGTGAGCAGCGCAGGAAACGCTCCGGTCAGAAAAGTGGGGCAGATCCGCCGCTTCTCGGCCTCTTTTTTTTTTTGTTGTTGTTGTTGGTTTGTTGTTTTTTTTTTTCTTCGCCCTCAGCGAAACGGGTTCCGGCAGCGCCGTCGGGGCTTTGCTGTGAGGCAGCGCTGCCGCTGCTCAGAAGTTCCCGGCCCCGCGCAGCAGAGCCGCGCTCCTTCGGGGCGGAGCGGGGCAGAGCAGTGCGCGTCCCCGCGGCGTTGGGGTGCCGGGCGGCGGTGGGACGTGGCGGGCAGAGCAGCTGCACAGGCCGCTCCGAGCACAGGGCGCTCCTCACCTTTCAGGCTCGGGGAGGCACCGCCGCGGGGCACGGACTCGGTTTTTTCAGTAATGGCAGAATCGGAGCTTTCCTTCATCCCCGCAGGAACACCCGGAGGGGAAAGAGGCGGCGGGGCGACACCTGAGAGCAAAGCTGAAGGACGGCAGGAAACCCCCCCCCGCAGCGGACGGACGGGCGCGGGGTCCCCCCGCAGCTTTCCTCGCGACGGAGCCGGGTCGGGCGCTCACGCCGGGCTCTAAGGGCGAACCGCCCCCCGGGTCTCCCCTCGCCGGGAGGGTGGGCGGCAGCAGAACCCCTCCGACGCGCAGCAAAGCCCAGAGTGAGGGTCCCGGCCCCCGTCCGATGCCCGTTCCGCAGAGCCCGGAGTGGATGGCGCGGCTGAAGAAGGGCGTCGCTCCGAGGGCCGCCTCCCAACCCCCCGCAGCCACGCCGGGAGGACGGGACGCGGCGGACGACAGGGGGGTCGGAGCCACCTCCCATCCCCCCGCGAGGAACCCAGCCTCGCACAAATGGCCGCTGCTCAACGACGCGGCCGCTCCGGCGGTCCCCGCTGCAGGCGCAGCCGCTGCCGGTGGGATCCGGGGGCAAACTCCGCGCAGGAAGCCGCTGCCGCACGCCGCGTTGCTGGGAGCGAGGCCGGCAAAACCCCGGCGGCCTCCGGGGGTGGATCTGGAGAAGTTCCATAGGGCTGCACCCCCCGGGGAGCCCGGCCGCACTGCCGTGGGGTCGCGGAGTGCTGTGCTGGGTACGGCGTGGGGATGGGGATGTTGGGGATGGGTGCGGGGTGGGGATGTGCATGGGGTGGGTATGGGGTGAGGACGGGGACGGGCGGGAATGGGTACAGGATGGTAATGAGTTCGGGGTGGGGATGGGTACAGGATGAGTGTGGGGATGGGGATGGATTGGAGGCGGGTATGGCGTGGAGATGGGTGCAGGGATGGGATGGGTACAGGATGAGGATGGGTGTGGGGTGGGGATGGGCTGGGGATGGGGATGGGATAGGAACGAGGTGGGGAAGAGGTGAGGATAGTATGGTGTGGGGATGGGATGGGGAGGGGTGGGCTGTTGGGAGCAGCACGGGATGGGGATGGCACGGGGCTGAATACGGTGTGGGGATGTAAATGAGTTGGAGATGGATACAGGTTGGGCTGGGTATGGGATAGGAATGGGTACAGGATGGGAATGGGCATGGCGTGGGGTGCAGGCAGAGCTCTGGCTGATGGGACCACACTGCCAGCCTGGTGTCTTCCTCCACCACAATTCAGGGCTCGGTGCCATGTGGGTGTGCTGGTGTCCATTTGGCTCAGACTCCACTGAGCTCTGTGGTGGCCTTCCAGAGCTGAGCACATTTGCTGCTTTCTGACAGCTTTAAGCTTCTTTCAAATCCTGCTTCTCCCTCAACTTCTCAAAGTCCTTCTCCACCATCCTGCGATGTTTCCCTATTGCCCATCTCACACCAGGACTGGGGTGCTGTCCAACCTCCTCCTTTCCTCAGGAGGACTGCACGCCCCAGCTGCTTTCTGGTATTTCTCTTCGGGTGTGCTGCTGGCTTTGTCCCCAACCCCGCTCTGCTCCAGCACTGACCTGGGTGTCCCTGAGCCCCGAGCTGAGCTGCAGACTCCAAAGAACCCGTTGTTGCTCCCTCTGTCTCCCAGGTTACCCAACGCCGTTCCCACCACGGGATGCTCTGAGCACAGCAGGGTCAGTACTGAGGAAGCACTTTTATTTTTGGGGTCTCTGACCGAGTGGGGGTCAGAGAACACGAGGAGGAATGGTGGGAGGGTGGGTCGGGGCCCCCCGTGATGCACCCCTGGAGGTGCAGACATCATCCTGGGTGGCTGAATGGCTCCCTGATGGTGCTCTGCTCCATCCCAGTGGTGAGGAGGAGATATATGACGACGTTGAGCTGATCAGGAGAGACCGAAGCTTTCCGCCGCCCCCCACGTTCCGGCCGCCAGCACATCTCCACCCCAGAGGAGGTGGGGGCAGAGGGGGTGGGTGTGGGGCAAAGGGGGTCGGGGTGCCTGAAGGATGGAGGGCAGCCAGTGGGGCCGGTGACATCAGCTTGGTCTGAGGGACACAGGTGGTACCTGAGGGGCGTGGACACCCTGGGGGCCATGGGAAGTGATGCTCTCAGCCTCCATCACCCCGTGTAGCCCTTTTCCATGCTTGGTTTTACAGGGGGAGGTGCTGCTCGGACCCAGAGCACGGTTGCACTGCTGGTTGCTGCACAAAGGTAATGAGGGGGGTGAGTGTTTCCCGTGGGTCTGCTGAGACCCCCCAGGGCTTTGTTGTTTGGTGGTCTCCGCTGGAGTTGCAATGAGAACCTGTCCACAGAGCCCCAGCAGCCCTGGGGGAGGGGGATGGGGATGAAGGGGAACCTCTGGGTGCTGGGAGAAACCCAAGCAAAGGCACCGGGGGGGGCAGCGGGAGGGGGGTGAGCCAAACCTTCCCACCACTCACGACATCTCTGCAGAGGAGCTCAGAGCTCCCGGAAGATGAAGCCGATGACACTCAAGGAATGCAAGAAGGAAGAGAAAGCGGACAGGGAGTTTCAAAAGAAATTCAAGGTGAGCAGAAAGGAACGGTCGCTTTTCCCTCTGAACTCCCCCTCGCTGTGCAGGGAGGATGCCGTGCAGAGGGGCTGCGTGCTCCAGGAGCGGGCGGTGCCCAGCAGCCCAGCATTGCCCCATTGAAGCTCCCCCAGGACAGACCGACCCCACGGCGCTGTGCTTTGGAGAAGTGCTGCTGCCACAGAGGAAGCGGTTGGAGCTCAGCCAGCCTTTCTCTGCTTGTGTTTCAGTTCGAAGGGAACATCACCGTCCTGACCCAGATGATGGTTGACCCTGCGACGACGGAGAAGAGGGGCGGGGGGAAGAACCTCCCACTCAGACGGGGAGAGATCCTGGATGTCATTCAGTTCACCAACAAGGAGCAGATCCTCTGCAGGAACAGCCAGCGGAGGTGTAAGTTGGCCGCTGCCCCACACTCAGCATTGCTCCTGAGGGATCCCAGCTCCACTCCTGGAGCTGCTCTGCCCCCCCTGGGGGTGCGCAGCCCACACGCGCTTCTCCCCCCTCTGTTGCAGACGGTTATGTGCCCCGCGCTGTGATGCTGCACCTGTGAGTATCCCTTCCCCAGCCCTTCCTCCCAGCACCGACTCCCCCCCGGCCCAAACCCCCCCAGCTGTGGCAGCGACTGGTGGCTGCAGGGAGATGTGCCCCTTCTGGGGACAACCTGGTGTCCCACCCCTGCAGGGGGGGCACAAGGGGCAGAGATGGAGCAGAGCAGCAGCAGAGCTGCCCCATCATAGTGGGAGCCGTGGGGGCCTGGACCACTCACAGCTTTTCCCCCACAGGGACAGAGACATCTACGACGATGTTGATCTGTATGGTAGGTGTGAGTAAAGTACTGCTGGTCCCCAAGCAGAGCCCTCCATGTCTTTTGAGACACCTGAGCCCCCACAGTGCCCCCGCCCCCAAATGGGGACGGCTGTATCACTGCAGTGCTGAGTGAACATCTGTTCCCACCGACAGAATGACCAGGAGGACCACCAGACCCCAAAGGCCGAAGCTCTGATGCTGGAGGGGCTGCGAGGGTCGGCCCTGCAGAGCAGAGGTTTGGGAAGGTCCTTCAGATGGAGCCCTGCGGCGCTTTGTTTGATTTGTGTGAAACGTGGCACTGATTTGTGTGGTCCTGTATCTGTGTTTTTTGGTTGTTGTTTTTTTTTTGGGGGGGGGAGGGAGGTGGGGGAGTGGTTTTCCCCAACTGAGCAGATGTGGGGTGGGATGGGGATGTGCTCAGTGCCCAAATGCCGCCTCCAGATCTGGGAACAGATCTGAATTCTTCCGGATCAGGAACTGCGCTGGGAACGGAGCTCCATCTGCTCCTGGTGCATGCGGCCCCACGGGGTGCGAGCAGCAGGGAAGGGTTAAACCCCACCGCACTCACCCACAGAAAGCCAAGCCCAGATTAACCGCTGCAGGACGTCACTTTCCATTATGGGAAGGGCTCCCAGGGCAGCTCTGGGGCTGGGATTAGGGGCTGGCACAGCGAGCTGCGATGTGCGGGGCGAGGAGCTGCTGCTGAGCGGGGCCATGTGGGAGCGCGCCCGCACGGCGCTGCTGGGCTCACTGTCCATGGGCTCCGCACACCTCTGGGTGCAGATTCGGGCTTTCTGGCACAAGAACGGCCTGCTGACCCTGTCCATGCTGTCGGTGGCCACCGGCTGCCTGCTGGGCTTCCTGCTGCGGGCGCTGGAGCTGACGGAGCTGGTAAGGATGGGGTGGGAGCAAAGGGAGCACGGAAGGGCTCAGCACTGAATGCGTGGGCTCCTGCCTGAGGGAACAACCTCTCACAGATGGGTTTTCTTCTTATTTTGGCCCCAGAGTGGCAGGACAAATCCTGCATCCCTCTGTTGGGGACCCCGGTGTGCTGCAGGGGGTGGGAGGGGAAGGCAGCTGCTGCCCTGTGCCCTGGGCTGGGTGCTCACTGCTTCGGGCCATCCTTGGCACAGCAGTGCTGGTATCCCACAGCCAAAACTCCTCTACTGCTGGTGCAGGTGCTCAGCATCCAGGCGAGTCCCAGCACAAACCTCTCCAGATTCCCAGGGGTCCCCTACTGTTCCTAAAGGGCCATTAAATGTCACCGTGCTAAAATCACAGCAGTTTTATCTCAGCCCTGATCTGCAGGATGCTCAGCTGCTGCCGGCACATCCCCGTGTAACCTGCAGGGATTTGGCATTTGTCACTTCAATTACACCCTGTAGCATTACTGCCTGCAGCGAGGATGATCTGACTTAACCGAAGCGGGGTGTAATCCCACTGCACCCCAATGCACGTGGCCATGAGAGAGGCAGCATCCCGCTGCCCCTGGTCCTGCCCCTACCCCACAGTGCCTGACAAATCCACATGACACTGGGGAAGGTTGGGCAGAGGATGGATGGAGGAATGGATGGAGGGATGTAGGGAGGGATGAAGGGATGGATGGATGGATGGATGGATGGATGGATGGATGGATGGATGGAGGGATGGAAGGAGCCTCCAGAAGGACACGTATGGATGGAAGGACAGATGGAGGATGGGTGCATGGGTAGAGGGATGGAAGGACGTGCAGTTGGCGGGAGGCAGGTGGGCACACAGGGGTTGGGACATTTCTGCACTCTGCTCCCAGGGAAATGTGCAGCAACATCTGGAGCAACCAAAGTGTGGCCATGGGGCTGTTCCCATAGGGAGATGGGCCTTCGGAATGGGAACTGACTCAACACCCCTCCTCATCTCCTGGATGGATTTCCCTATGGGGTGGGACTTCTTCCCCCCAGCGGCTCTGGGGGATCCCCCAGGCTGGGCAGGGAAACCACACTGTCACACCTGGGAACCAAGCTCATGTCTGGATCCCATTGGGAAAAAGAGCATATCTGCCCTGTTTGAGCCCTTTGCCCACAATCAGTGCTCACCTCCCCACTTCCACCCTTCCCAACGCTTTGCTCCCTGCAGGAGAAGCAGTATTTCTCCTTTCCTGGAGAGCTGCTCATGAGGATGCTGAAGATGCTGATCCTGCCACTGATCACCTCCAGGTGAGACATCATTGTCTGCATCTAACGGACCATGAGACAGGACACGCAGCTGCCTGAGTGCGGTGCCAGGCCCTGAGATCAGGGCAGGGGAGCAGAGCTGGGGGTCACTTGTGGTTCTTTCCCTCTTAAAACTGCGGCACATGGGGGCTCCAATCAGGATCCCCAACGCCAACTCCATGCAGTTTGGGAGCGGGTGCTGAGTATGGTGTTTTCTGGCACAGCCTGATGTCTGGGCTGGCTACCATGGAGCCCAGGGCCTGTGGGAAGATGGGGGTGATCACCATCACCTATTACCTTTGGACCACTTTCATGGCGGTGACCATCGGGATCATCCTGGTAGTCAGCATCCACCCCGGGGCGGCGGCGCAGAAGGAGGATTACTCTGCAGGGAAGGTGGTGCTCAGCTCTGCCGACGCGCTGCTGGATTTGATCAGGTGCGCTGTGGGGTCTGGGAGCAGCGTGGGGGCTGTGGGCCATGACTTCTAGCAATACTGCAGCACATCAGTCCTCCTCTCAGCCTCTTGCCCCACAGAGCTGTGTCCAGTTTCCCTCCAGTTTTAACCTCTGCTCTCTTCCAGGAACATGTTCCCTTCCAACTTGGTGGAAGCATCCTTCCAGCAGGTGAGCAACCTGGCCTCCCTGCTCTGCAACACAACAGTTGGGCCCTGCTGTTGTGCAGCGGCTTCCCAGCCCAACTTCCAATCCCAGTCCTAGCCCCAGTCCCTATCCCAGCCCAGCCCCAGCCCCATTGCCAGCCTCAGTCCCAGTTTCACCTCCAACCCCAGTCCCAGCCCATTCCTGATCTCACCACCATCCCCATCCCATCCCTGTCCCCATTCCATCCCGATTCCATCCCTGTCCCTAACTCATTCCCATCTGCTTCACATCCTGTCCCCAGTCCCACCCCTATCTCCCTCCCATACCCATCCCAGTCCCAGTGAGGTCGGGGAGCAGGGCAGAGGGGTTTGGGCAGGAGGACGAGAGTGATGAGGTTTGGGCTGAAGGAGATGGGGCAGAAATGGGCAGGGTGCAGGGAGAACAGCAAGCTCATGGCACTGGGAGTCTGTAGGGTGCCAGGATGGGGCTGGAGGGGCCCCTCTGTAGGGACCACAATGTTTTCTCATCCCACATCGGGATCCAGCAGGGATCCGCCTCAAATGCCAGCTGCTGTTTCTCTGCCCTCTTTCTCACTTCACCAGGGAATATGCAGGGCCACTTGCAGGGCTGGAGCTTGCTGCCCACAGGACAGTAACTTCTGCTTTGTTTCTGTCCAGTATCGAACTGTTATCGTCCCAGTAGTGAAGTCTCCACGATTCCCAACAATCCCAGGGAAATCCCTCAGTTTTATTTACTTCGCACCGGATGAAGAAAACCCTGAAATCCACCGGCCCGTGTTTCTTGAGCTGACACCATCTCCCGAAATGACGTACAGGACCCTGCCAGGGACCAGCAACGAGATGAACGTCCTTGGGATCGTCATCTTCTCCGCGACCATAGGTACCTGCAGGAGGAGAGGGGGGAGCGGGGGGAGAAAGAGTAGGAGGCGATGGGATCAGCGTGGGGTGGATTATGGGGAGAGGTGAGGGCAAGGAGCTTGAGCTCAGCATATCAGGAACCCGAGAGCCAATCCGAGGATTTGGGGTGGGGGCGGCGTGTTGAGGGCAGCACTGGGGCACCGGCAGAGCTGTCAGCAAAAAGCCAGTCCATCCCTCTCTAGATTCCTCCATCCACAGCCAAGGGCACCGGCACTGCGCACTGGGTATCGCTCAGTAGCACAGGTCCATGTGTTGGGCTGTAGGGCTCCTCCTGGGAAAGATGGGTGAGCGAGGAGCACCGCTGGTCAACGTGTGCCAGTGTCTGAACGAAGCCGTGATGAAAATCGTCTCCATGGCTGTTTGGTGAGTTGGGTGGTCATCGGTTCCACTCCTTCCTCACCCGCTTGCTGGTGCTGATGCCAGTCCTGCAGCCCCACGTATCTGTTGTGAGCAATGGACTCAGTGCAGCACAGCCGTCCCAAATGCTGTCATCACTGCTGCACTGCTTCGTCTTCGTGAACGCTTGCCCTCATTCTTGGTAGGTACTTCCCTTTCGGCATCGTGTTTCTCATTGCTGGGAAGATCCTGGAGATGGAAGACCCATCGGTTACAGGCCAGAAGCTGGGGCTGTATGCCATCACCGTGGTGTCGGGGCTGGCCATCCATGGGCTTGTTCTCTTACCGCTGCTTTTTATACTCATCACCAAGAAAAACCCCTATGCTTTCATTAAGGGGATACTGCAAGCTTTGCTGATTGCCTTAGCTACATCTTCCAGGTATGAAAACGTGGCTGAAAAATGTGGGTACAGCTAGGACAGGATGCGGGTAGCTTGTGGGGGATGCAGAGGCATGTAGGGCTGGCTGTGTGGCAGAAGAGATGCGCCACAGACATCAAGAAAGATAAAACATTAAAGGAGATCCCTCCCAGCAGCAGTGGGAAGTGGGATGTTCAGCACTGCCCACTGTCACGGCAGCTTCACACCCAGTTCCAGCAGCCCCTGTATTACAGCTCCTGGTCTTTCAATGGGCAGAAGGAAGAGTGGCCATTCCCTCCTGGACCCAGCAGGGCTGTGGGGGATTTGGGTTATCCCATAGGCAGCGCTGCAGCCTTACTGCTTGGCCAACAGTGTGTGCCTTGTGCATCCTCCAGGTGCTGTAAGCCGAAGAGATATGGCTTCTGTTGGTACAGCAATACGTATAACATGACTGCTTAATTTTCTACTGGACTTCTATTTCTACAGTGCTCGCTCAGTAATTCCAAAAGCAGCACTGGTGACGCTGTGGCAAACCATGACTTAATGCTCCTTGCTCTGCAGCTCAGCGACCTTGCCCATCACCCTGAAGTGTCTTCTGGAAAACAATGGCATAGACCGGCGTGTGGCACGCTTTGTCCTTCCTGTCGGTGCCACCATCAACATGGACGGCACGGCACTGTATGAGGCAGTCGCTGCCATCTTCATTGCCCAGGTCAACGAGTACGACTTGGATTTGGGGCAGATCGTGACCATAAGGTACACATGTGCAGCAGCAGGCAGGGAGGTGTGGGCACTGCATCCCATCCCACTCTCCACCGGCAGATGTGCCCATGGATGAGCTGTCTGCAGTGCCAGAACCTTCCAGAGCTCACCCTGGTCCATAGAGAACTTCCACACCACTTTTTGGGGACACTAATCCCACAGCCTTCTCTCCACAGCATAACAGCAACTGCGGCGAGCATTGGGGCAGCCGGGATCCCACAGTCGGGACTCGTCACGATGGTCATCGTGCTGACCTCAGTGGGGCTGCCCACTGCTGACATCACGCTCATCATTGCAGTGGACTGGGCCCTGTAAGTCCTTTCTGGGCACACAGTGTGTGTGACACAGCACACGGTAGTGGGGACACACTGGGACTTCTCTCTAGTGGAGGAAACGGGGACTGACCTCAGAAGCCAAGCGTAAGCTCGTTCCTTTTCCTATTCTTTTCCCAAAATGCCCTATGATAACAATCAGCAAAAACTTATTACCTGATTGTTCCTGATTGGAGTGCTCATCACTATCACTGCTGCACACCACACCTTTGCCAGAGATCTCAAATAAGTTAAGAAAAAGAAAGCATGCACGTGTACTTGCAAGAGACAGATAGGAAGGATATGGGGATGCCACCAAAGTGGTGGAAAAATGCCACCGCTTAGGATAAAAGCACGACCTGCTGAATAAAACCATGCAGCAGGAAATGGGCACATACAATAGGCAGCATACATCTTACAAGCTGCATGCCATTGGAAGGGAAATGATACTGGCCTTCCTACACAGAGAGATGGTGCTTTCCAAGGACCATCTCCAACCCGTGGGGCAGCCCTTGTGCTGGCAGTGAGGAGCAGGATGATCTGGAGACAAGAAGTATGGGAGCTCCGTGCCCCTCTGTGTTCACTCGCTGCTATGCCAGCAGCAGCAGGGATGGCAGGGCTGCATCCCATGTGCTGCAATGCCATACGGGGCCATGGCTGCAGCCTCAGTGCTTCTGTCTTCCAGGGACCGATTTCGGACCATGACCAATGTCCTCGGGGATGCGCTGGCTGCTGGCATCATACAACATGTCTGTGAGAAAGACTTTGCCCCAAAGCCCCCAAAGGCACGTCTGGTTGGTTACTCTGGGAGCATTCTGAGCCACGCAGACACAAAAAACGTGGTTGGTTCAGAAACTGAAACAGCATTTTTATCTTTTCTCACAGCAAGATACAGTGAGCGACACAGACAAATTTCCTTCTGCAGAGCCCCCACTTCTGCATCCCAAAGACAACGTGATCCAACTGCTTGAGGACACTCTGTTCGAGCAGATGGGGGTGCACTACAACATCTGCCAGGTGTAGGTTGCAGCTCTCCCACCCCAGGACAGGACCTTGGTGCTAAGCATTCCCAATGCCACACACGGCTGCTCCACAAGAGAAAGGCCTTATCTGGGGCAGCAAACCCCTCTCTATCCTTTCTATCCTGCTGCCTGGAGCTGAGGACATGACCGGACTGGCTGCCCTGCCTACAGCAGTTGGGATTATGGCACAGCCTTGTCCTCTTCCATGAGGCTGCTCAGGGGATTGGGGAACAGCTACGAGGTGATGGCAGAGAGCAGCAGAGGTGGAACTGAAGCTGTCATCTTATGGCAGCAGCCTCTATCTGCTGCCCAGGCTGCATGCCATAAGGTGTTAATAGTTCTTTTTAAACCTTTTTATACACACTAATACATACCAATATATATTGCATATTAATATATATATATATACATGCATATCTTTTAGGTTCTCATCTGAAAAACAAAGTGTACCTTTTGCCCAGAGCCCAAAGCCAAAGCTGAGCAGAACAGGATGCTGCAGCAGTGATCAGCATGCTGCAGCAGTTTATCAGCATTACCCCATTGCAGCTGTGCTCCTAAGTTCAAATTCCCATTCCAATGAAAGCCTTAAAACACAGCTCCCAAGGGCTGCCTTCTCCACAAAAGTCTTTCATACACGTTGTGTGTGTTGCTGGATGCATTTACCTCTTCCAACGCCACCACATCCCCCTCCTGCCCCGGGCTGTCATTACTGCCACAGCACAAGGCTGACAGAGCAGCTTAAATTCACACCAACATCACTGAATTTCTCTAAAAGATGATACAATCCACAGGGAAATGAATTGAGCTATTCCTATTACTCAGATGCAGGCAGACAAGATCAGCTTACAAGCTGATAAGGACTGGGGTAAATCCAGCAGCACCAGCAGAGTAATGCATCCAATCCCAAAACGTCAGCATGGTGTTCTGCATTCAGAGTAACACGAGTGCACCAGAAGATGAGGGACAGGAGGTTTCCAGAAGTCATGAAAGCCACTGAGAATGGGCCCAAAGTCACTGAGCAGCACCAGGAGCAGCGCTGTCCCCCTCTGGGACTGTGGGTGCAACATGTGGGAATGGGGTGAACTGAAGGATTCTGCTCAGCACACTGAAAACTACTTCAGCCTCAAAGATTGTGTGTACCGTATCTTAATAAAGCTGGGAGAGCAACTGGGCAAAGGCACAGGGCTGTTGTCTGAGCATTATTCTCGCTGAGAAAAATCACTAGAAGCTACTTATGGCTTCTGTAACTATTAATCCAAGGTAGCAGAAGCCAAGGGCTTTATGGTATCTCCCAGAATTCGGGTAGAAAACCCAACCACTTGGCCAAATGAGCCCTTATTTGGGAAATGGAATGCCACCAACGGGTTTGGTGAAGGGGAGCAGGTGACCCTAAGGACTACCCTCCGAGGATTCTATGATTCTATGACCCGCACCAGGCAATCAGCTCATGCACCTCTTGTTCATCACTGATGTAAATGCACAGCTGATGGCAGTGGCTATGTTGAAAAGCAGTATTTTGGAGCTGAGAATCTGCTCCATCAAACAGCGTTTTGTACTGGTTGTATGCCAAGAAGCATTGCTCCTTTTGTGCATGGAGATCGCGGGCACTCGTTGGGACATTTGTAGACATCCATCAGAAGATGTTCTCAGTGAGCTTAGCTAATCCCTTAATTATCTTGTATGCTGAGAGGAGCAGAAAATATGTTTCTTTGGAGCTTGGATGCAGGTGGTAGATAATAGCCATGTTCTGCCATACGCAGTGAAGACTGGTCGGTGTTCGCAGCTCTCAGTCTGTGGTTGCATCAGAGAAAATGAGAAGCTCTACAGGGAAATGAAATAAGGAAGTAAATGAAAAGACGGGAAGAGGCAAAGGCAGACAGGTCCCGCCCCACTCTCACTACACAGATGTTCACTCCTGAAAGGAGCAGTTCAGAGAGATGAATGTGTTGCTAACTGAAGAACGTGGGTCACCCTGATGTTAGGGCAGATGGGAAAGAAAACATAGGGCTGGAACAGTGCTCCCAGCCCAACATTGCTGCTCCACTCACCTTTGGCCAGCTCACCTCAGAACCTGCTGCTCACTGTCCTTCCACGTGCAGAACCACAACCACGTGGTTATTTGGCCATTCCCGCTCCTCCACTTGGTCTCCAGAAGTCTGCAGAGCATGGTTGCATGTCTGCAAAGCATTACCTCAAACCATGTCCTGGTGCTAGAATGTTAACAGCAACATGACGCTCCTGTGTTTCAAGAACACTGCCTTGTCTTTGGGTGTTTTAAGTCAATTTCCATCTCTTTTTCCAATGCCATTTCCCAGCTGCAGTTATTTGCTGTGACAGATCAAACACTGCTGACACTTCCATCCTTGAGATGTCCAGTGATCCCTCTGTTCAGAGCCAGGCACAATTCCTCTCCCTCTGCTCCCACTGGCAATCCAATGCCAGTCCTCATCTTTGACTGTGAGTTTCTCCTGCCCACGTGGTGGTGATCCCTCCTCTTCCCACATCTCATCATCTGCTCTTCAGCACTAACAGCTGTTCTTCAAGAATGTGGGCACCAATGTGTGGTTCCTACACACAAAGGCTTCAGTGGGAAATAAAACACTGACACAGACACTTTGTGCACAGCAATTCACGTGCTCATAACCAGTCACAAAAGCAGGTCTTATCTGCCTGTATTCCTTCAGACCTTTGCTTTTCCAGCCAGGTACAAGCAATCCACGCATGGAGCGTGGATTGTTTATCCACCTATAGACAATGTCGGGCTTTAAGACCCCTTTGAACTCAAACCACAGAATGTTTTGTAGCTGAGAGTTTGTGGCATCAAATGGTATTACAGTGCTCTCTGTGGCAGTTGTACTCCAAGGAAATAAATAGGAGGCATTACTTTCAGAGCGACTTATGTATATGCCTGACACAATCCAACAAAACGTAGCCCCTGGCTCTGGTTGAAGCTGTTTTTTTTTTTTTCAGTTTCCATGCTCTTTTTTTCTTCTTTTTTTTTTTTTTTTTTTTCCCAGTCTAACAGCAGCTCAGAGTGGATTTCAAGTGCACAGCATTGATGCCGCTGTAGAAAATGTTTTTGTTTCAAAAAGAGGACACACATCCCAGAGCTGACAGCTGGGACAAAGCACACCAAGCCCAACCAGAACCGCCTTGCAGGAACAGATGAATTGAAGCCATCGTTACAAAGGAAATTCTGAGAACTTCAGTCCAGTGATGAACATCACAGGTCCTCAGCTGACTGCCACCATCACTGCAGTGTGATGTGGAATTCCCACTGCAGCTCTTTTAAGCTGAGGTTGAACATTTTGGCAGTTCTACAGAATGCCTCCTTCTGCAGCATCCTCACTCCCACTACAGTTTCATCTTCAGCTACAAAACCACTGAACTGCTCCAGTGGTTCACGGTTTCTGGCCTCCCTTCCACGCAGCCAGCACAACAAAGCCCTGAGGGTGACACAGACACAAGCTAATGCATCCAGGTTGCCAAGTCCCCACCAACATCCTCCCCCTATGCTCCCACAACGGAGCACATGGCAAGGCTGCGGACTGCCAGATCCACCCCTCACACGAAGAACTCCCCGATTCCCAGCTTCCTGCATCCCCCAACCAAAGCACACAGACACAGCACATATACATGGACTGCATCATTTATTATCTTATCTTCACTCCTGCATGCTTGTGGCACTGTGAAGCACACTTCTTTGATCCACCACGTGGATTTTTCCACTGCTAAGGTTCCCTCGTCAATTTCCAGCTGGGTCACCTCTTAAGAGAGGGGTTCTCCATGCATGTAATCGCCGGTCAGAGCCGTGCATCCAATTCCTGAACATGCACACCTGTCTGTGAGCTCCTCTGGATGACTGTGCAAGAACACCAACACTTCTCATGCCTCCTGAGCACCTCTCCTGGCTGGAAGTTCAGAGCTATGGGATCTCCAAGCAACTTCCATCTCAGGGTTTCATAGCACATGTGATATTTCAACGCAAAGAAAAACTGAAGGTGTGTTCCAGGAAGGTAAGCAAACTGCTGTGTCCTCCCAGGTGAGAATCTCCTGCTTAGCTTCCCCCACTGCCATTTTTCTTACAGCACTTTCCACTTCCAGTACTTCTAATGATCAAAGAAATCCATCAAATTAATGATACTATTTGTGTTAAACCCCTGTGACAACCTGTGACCTTTTTCTTTACCTCCACATTGTTAAACGTGCTATCCAACACTTGGGTAACATTTTTCCCTGCTGTCCCTCGCTGAGACCAAGGATGGAGCCATCAGAGCTCAGCACAGCATGGAGCCTTTGTTTCCTGGCTTCAGCCTATAGAAACATGTTGCAGAGCAGAGACAAGATGGATGGGGTTAAAGTTACGTGTGCCACATCCTCTATTACCCATACACCTATCACTGCTACTTTCTACTCAAAACTTACCACCCATACTAATTAAAACATTTCTTCCTTGTTCTAATTACACACACACACCTCAGAGCACATTCTCTTTCCTGCTTTGCATCTGCAATTGTAGCCAGCTCCGTGCACTTACCCTTATTCTTATCACCTCTGCTTTTGCAAAATACAGTGTTCTCCCAGCGTGTCATCCTTCCCCATCTTCTGCATCTTTCATGGCTGGCCTGCTCCCAAGCCAATCTCCCAGCCACCCACTGGCTACCCATGTCCTCTTATTTGAGCCTACGACACTTGAACACTTTGGGGTTTTTATCAGGATAGGAACTGCTAAAAATCCTCTCGTTATTCTTAAAAAAATAATGAAAACATTAAAGCAGTATGACAACGTGGTGTTTTAATGAGCCACTGAGCTTCCACACAGCTACGAGCACCAACGGCAGGAAGCCACAGCTGCTGCAAGGAGCTTCTCCTTGGGCATCACCCCATCTTCCTGCCTTGGTTTCTGCAAGACAATGCTTAGGAAGGGGTGACACCCCCAGTGCTAAGCAAAGGCAAAATGGAGGAGCTCTCCCACTCACTCAGCACCGTCCTGCACAGCCTCCTCAACCCAGCACCTTTCTTTTGCTGCACCGAACCCCAGCAGCTGCAAGACCATCACTCAGCTGTGCTCTGCAGAAGGCAGGTTTCACGAACTTCAGATGATGTCAGGCTGCCTAAATTTCACCAATTCAACCCAGCCTGTCCTTTTCTCTTTCTCTTCCTTCCTTGGACATGGCCTTAAATGAATCAGCTTCACGCTGTTCCTTCCCCACAGACCAGAATGCATGCTCACAGAGGAACTGGGAGATCGGAGGGGGACAGCAGAGCTGTTCTGGCAAGCTCAGTACTCATTACATGGACACCAAGAGCTGAACTCGGGCCCAATGTCCCTTCCCCATGGCCACCAGCAGCATCTAGGTGTCCATCCCAGAATCCAGGGATGGGGAGCAGGGCCAGCCAGGCACTCCAAACCACGCTGGTGTGCGAGGCCAAATCTCTGCCACTCACAGATGTTCTTGAAGCTGAGCCGCCTTCCTTCTTCCATTCCTGCAGTAAGAAAGAATGAGAGTATTAAGGCCCAGAAAATATTGTAATAATAGGGAATAAAATAGAAAAGCTGGCCCAAAAAGAAGCAAGCATCATTTCCTAACTGCCAGTTCTCAAAGAGGTGACAGCATTCTGATCCTGGGGAGAAGCAAATGGGAAGCAATTCCTGAAGAGCAGCGATGCTGTGTGTCACCAGATGATGCACGAGATGGAGGTGTCTGAAGTTATTTTGAGAAGTTTTAGAGAAATGTGGATACCATGTTCTCTTAAAGCTCTGTCTCCTGCTTGTCACATTACTGCGCTGCTGTTACCGAACATCTTCGTGACTCTGAAGTTTGACAAAAGCTCAGATTTTTAAGGATATATCTTTGTACGAGTTTATTGTATAAAAAGCAAATATTTTTACTTCAAGTTTTCTGTTAAAAAAAGATGATGTACGTGATTCTGCAAGTTACCTTCACACTGTGTATGAATGTGGAACAGTGTACGTGTGCACATAGAGCACAGAACGCATCAATATATGCAACTGAGATAAATGCATGTTGTAAATAAACCATCTATAACGACAACCTACACTTTAACACATGCATACACACACACATGAAGACTCGTGTCAGATGCAAAACAGAGGGGACAAACTGAGACAAAGAGATGTCAGGTAGGATATGTGCTCACAAAAACACTTCACCCCAATTTTACACTTCTGCTTGGGCCAAGACCAAACCTGTTTGCTTTCAGAAAAGCACGGGGACTTACTTACCAGAGCCAACGTGAACTGCAGTACCATGCTGAGGTCTGGAGAGTGTGAGCACACACTCCTCCTGTGGCACATGAGCTGCAGCCCAGCACCGCTCACACCGACCCCACACTGCTCCCAAGCCAAACCATTTCTGCTCTGCTCTCCTCTGCTCTCTGCAGCATGCACTGGGCTGAGCTTGGGAGCAGGATCTGTTCCAACACATTCAAATAGAAGTTGAGTTAAAGGATGTGTCAGAAGTCTGCTGGTTACTCAGGGAATGCACGAAGAGTCACAGCTATCTTTACGTGAGTTGGTGAAGCTCTGCGTCAGCTCCTGGGTGGACATGAGGAGCAGTCCAGCTGCAGCTCTGCAGAGAGAAGTCAATCAATCCGCAAAAAATAACATTAACTGCATTATGTAATAGAGGTACTATTCAAATGGAAAAAATATATATATATTTTAAAGAGCAGAGTACCAATGAGACAGCAATCAGTGTCATCTATCACTGTTCTGGGAGATCTGGTGGTGACAGCAGAGAAGCACAGCACTATGAGCCACCAACAGCCTCTGGCACAGCCCGCAGCCAAGGGGAGAGCTGCAGGAGGGAACCTCCATCCCAAGTTATCTGCACCCGAGGGTTAATGTGGCCAGACTAGATTGGGATTTTTTTTTCTCTTTGTAAAAATGGCCATTTCTGACAGGGGGGACAAACCTGATGGGCATGTCTCGTAGCAAAACCTCCTGGTTGTCAGTGTATGTTTTCTCTTATTGCTTCTCATGGAATTGAAAGATACAAAGGTTGCTGGTATGAACCAGGGCAAAGCAACCCCATCGGGGTAATGTCCTTTGGGAGGAATCACACTGAAGGTGCTGCAGTTCTGCTGCAAAGAAGCCAGGAAACATCTAAAATTCTGTGCTGGGGATTACGAGCTCCTGTTTGCAATAGATATTGCACATCCCATAACCTGTTCGATAGGCAGCAACCAAAAATGCCTATTTCTGCTCTTTAAACTCCAGCAGGAAGAACAATTTCAATCTGGTAAGCACTGGGAGACCGGGCCATTTCTGTAGCAGCAAGAACTGAAAACGCAGCTCTGCAAAGCTCCGAGCTGATCTGGCAGCACTATGCCTTCCGTAGGATGGTTGGGGTGGAAGGAGGAGAGGGGCTGATCAGTCCCAACCCCAGGCAGGGACACACTATCAGCTCTCCGTGGCCTCGGGCATCTCCAGGCATGGGGCACACGCAGCTCTGGCAGCACAGCAGCAGGGCCCTCCAGCACAGCTTCATGAGCGCTTTGCACACCCCACTGGGCCAACCCTTCCCAGACCAGAGCAACCAGGTGCTGCCCGACCCTGGGGATGGAGGAGCACTGCATCCCAAGGGCTTTGTCCAAAAGGTGCAAAAAAAAAAAACCAACCAACCAACCCCAAATGGCCTATAGCTGGGGCCTGGTTTGGTGTCGGTGCTCTTTTGTAATTATTATTTTATTTAGTTTTTTTATCAAGCGGGATAAGCGTCCTAAGATGGAGAGAACAACTTTTCCTGAAAGGTAAAAAGTCAGCCCTGTGCCTTCTTTTAATTCCATCATTCTCATCGCGTAACAAAAGCTTTAGCAGAGCAAACTCAATCCACCCAACTGCAAACACAGTTCATATTACTCTGAAAAAAACATCAGAATTCCAAATTGCACAAAGAAACCCCAATTCCTGCAGGAGAAGAACCAAGGAGGAACCATTACGTAAAAGCTCGACACCGCTGCGCAATACATCAGCTTCCACCACAGCTCATCGAGGAACAGGACAAACATGGTATAAATAAGGAGCTAACAAAACCAGCAAGGAACGTGTTGGCCAACAATTAACAAAAAAAAAAAAACCCAAACCTTTTTCATATTAAATTAAATTTTATATTAAAACGAGGGTGAGGGATCGAGGCTTTGTTTCCTTTAATTTTGAAAATACCATAAGAAAACAACACTCCATCCACAGGATTCTACAAAAGTGCTGCTGCGTTCAACCCATCTTTCAACTGTTTCAATCTGAGAATCCCAGCTTTTCAAGCCACTTGAAAAGAAAAGAAATCAATAGCGGAGAATTCCCAAGCACTTGAGCTGAAGGGCAAAAGGAATTGGTACATTTTTGCAACTCTTTCTAAAATACGTTTTTTTACATAAATACTCTCAAAATAACACAATGGGATTCCACTTCGTTTCAGACATTTGGAAAGCAGTGTCATACTTTATTTAAAATAAACCCATGTAAAAACAAAGCGTAAATGAAAATGGTACCTGAAAAATAAATTATTTGATATAAAACAAACCAATAACTTAAAAACACACTAAATATACAAAATGTTTAACCGTGTATACTGTACAGAACGGAAAACAATCGGTAAAACCTTCTGTCCCACAAACAGATTAATTCATAAACAAAAGATTACAGAAGATAAGGGAAATTAAATCAAGAAAAGGAGTACAGTGTGATTCATACTGGCAGATCAAGGTTTGTCCTGACTGGTTTCAAGTTCTTCCCAACGACCAACTGAGACCAACTGGTCTTCAACGACCAACTGAGAACGCTCGGCCGAACCGCCGACAGGTCGCCCAACCCTTTGGAAATGAGAACAGGGAGAAGAAGGGCTCCGAACGCAGCGCTTCTCAAGGTTCCGAGTGGCAGCTCCTACTCCTACCCACCTCCCATGGCCAACACCAACCGTTCCGTGGCGGAAATTCCACCCAAACAGAGAAATGGTTGGAGCCGAACGCTGCGCCAGGTCTGCGGCCGCGCTGGGAGCAGGAAGGCTGTGCTCAGTTTTGCTATTTTCTTTCACCGCTTTCTTTTTAGAGTAGAAAACAAATGGGGTGCGATAACCGTGTAAGACGAGTGCTAAGCTTTTGGTTGCTGTAACGACCCGCGTGGTGCTCAGCACCAGCACTGGGAAGTGCGGAGCTACGGCAAAGGGCACAGAGTAAGACGAGATTTGCTGCCAAATATCGGTATTAAAGCACTTGGGGTGACAAAACCACGAGGTGAGCAAAAAAGGGAGCGGTGTTTTCCTGTGCCAGGTGTGAATTTGGTCCCTTCCCCACAGCACTTCTGCCCTGAGCTTCAGTGCAAGGTGCCTCGTCCTGCACTGCACTGCACAGCACAGCACAGCACCCCTCCGGGCAGTGCTGGGACAAACGCATCCGTATGTACAAATATATACATAAAAATATGAGCTCCAGCAGCTGAGCCACGGGGACACCGTCAGCAGTTCACAAAAAGCCGTGTCTTACACAGAAAAATAAACCCACCCCCAAATCCTACCGCTTCTCAGAGGGTTTTGTTTCCTGGAGGACCTCGCTTCAATAAGCAGTTTGTTCTACCATTCAGCTGCTGCTTTGGGTAGAAAAGCTCACGAGGGGATGCTCTCAATGGCTGGGGTTTTTTTTTTTGTTTGTTTCTTAAGCACATACATAATGATAAACTAAGCCAAAAGGAAAAACAGCTTCAGTTATTCCAATTTAGAATACACTGGGAAAAAAAAACTTTCCTGAAATATGTGAAAAATCTTTGTTTTATTGATCTTACCCAAACATTAAAATAAAATAACATGAGAACAACTATTTAAGGACCCTAGGGACCACTCGCTTCCGAAACTTAGCATCCGAAATCTGCATCACCTCGCCTGTTACTCGGCAGCTGCAGACCCCTCCTGCTCTCAGTGTAGCTGTGCCCACTTTTAATTGCTTTGTACAAACGTGCCCACAACACACTGTGCCTCTGCCACCCTGCAGGACAGCTGCACGGCTCACCCTATCTCAGTGATTCGTGTACCTCTCCATGTTCACTGGGGTCCATGCTATCGCGACACAGAGGTTCAAAGGACACCAGCACCAGAGGGTAGCATCAGAGCTGTGCTGTGACAGCTCCTCCTCCTTCCACCCTATGGGACAGACCTCCCCCCCAGCATAGGAAGGGGCTGGGGGCAGTCGGGGGCTCAGCTCCCCTCCCTCTACGTAGCACAGTGCAGCACAGACACTGCAGAAAAGCAGCGTGGCTCAAAGGACAGAAACTCAACGCTTGAGCGTACAGACAGTCCAAAATGAAACCATGAGAAAACAAAACAGAACGCTACGCTGCTTTGATTCTGCCCCTGGCCAGAGCCCTTCTGATGGTTCTGATTTCTTCACCTGAAGGGGCTGTGCTCGCCTCTGCCAGCTTGCATACGGCACACAGCAACACCGGAGCTCCCTGCTCTGCATTTACTGTGCAAAACCCTCTCTGCAGATGGTGAACAGGATGTCTGTGCAGGGGCTGCACCCCATTCCTACCAGGGATCTGGGAAGCAAGTGTCAGGTGCTGGGTGGGAATAAAAGCTCATTAATATACCAGCAGATCAGAAAAGACCAGCCTGAACAAAGCCTGCAAGGAAACTCTGTTAAAACCTTTTTTTTCTTTTTTTTTTTTAATTTTTCAACCTAAAAAACCCCTGTATTTTGGTGGGTTTGTTTGTTTGTTAAGTTCTGCAGCTCAAATCCAGAACATCTTCAGAGAAGTTTAGGGGCAGCTCTGAGCCACCCTCAGGACAGCTCTCTGCTCAGCACTGTCTCATTTTAGAGTGAAACCCTGCAGTCCCTGAAGAACACAGCCCACCCTGCAGGGCCGGGGCAGTCCCAAACAGCGCAGCCATCCCTTGGGGCTGCCAAGCACAGCAGGTGTTGGAAGAACAGCAGAGAAATGGATGGATGTTGAATAAGAGAAGGAGAGCGTCCCATATTCGGGGTCCTGACACCACATAAAACATCTCCTGGATGGTCTATTGAACCCAGTTCCTTAAAATCCCATTGTAACACCCTAACCCAGCAATAGGATGGGACTGCTGAGCAACATGACCAAGCTCCAGTCATATTCTAGTAAGACCTTGTGATCTTAGAGACAGAAGGGTCACCTGAAAGGAACCACAACACCTCGAATGGAAGGATGAGAACTGCAGATACCCTTTTTTTACCTTCAAGTCCCTGAGAGCTATGAGGCCAAGACTGCTTTGGAAAGAGGTGAAATTAGGGGTCAGCTTGAAAGAGAGGTGTGTGATGATGCGGGAAGGACACCCAGCTCTTTGCACCTTCCTGGTCTTATAAGCCAGTTTCCACTTCCAGCAGCTCCCTTTCACCCTTTACCAGTATGATGTGTAGCTTACTGTGTAGGACCAAAAGCATCATGAATACATACGCTTAATTTCTTGAGCTCAGCTGCTAAAGACAAACACTAGCTGTGAGAATGGCACAGCCAACACAACAGGTGCTTCTCCCACCATCAGCTCTTGGTGTTTCAGTGGGACACTTTTTTCCTCCTTTCCTGACTCAAGAGGCAACGCTTTGCTTAGCTAAACTGCCCAGTAACTGTTCTCAGAGCAACTACCAAAGAAGTCCAGGATCAGACATCTCTTAGGGGAAACTTCCATAGTGCTACTAAAACAATATCCTGAATTTTCTTCTTATTAAGTAAAGAATAGGAGAGGGGAAAATAAGGAAGCAGTTGGATGACAGTTGTGCCAAAAAGCCTCCAAGAAAAGTTAAAAGAGAATGAGGTTGTTGGTGAGGAAGCAGCAATGTGAAGAGCAGCATGCCTGTGATGGTAATGGATGCAAAGTCAGATTTGGGAAGTGTGGATCTCAGCATGAGATCCACTGATGAAGCAGCAGCTGCCACTTGGTTACAAAAATCTTACATGAAACAAGGCAAGAGAGAATCAGAGGAAACTGGAAACAATTCAGGTTCACTCCAGTGGAACAATGAAGTAGTGAGGCCAAGAGGTGATGGGACACAGAAAAAAGACTGCTCTGCACTACGCAGCTGTAATCCGGGAGAGATCCCAGCAGTGCCTCTAAACCTTTTCTTGCACACCAGAAAAGGTTTTGTTGAAGTGATAAATAGATGATAAACACAGAAACATCTGGAACAGACAGCCAGAAGTGGATGGCAGACAGCACGCTTGGTTATGGGGACTGCTCCAGCACAGCCACTGCCTTGCAAAGCACCACTGTGCCAAACTGGGCTTCCATACCCTGTACTGGAATTCCGTACCGTTATTGGGCTTCTCAGAAGAGAGCAAGCAGGATGGGCAGGACTGGCGAGGCAGAAGGTGCAGAAGGGCACAGCACTGCCCGAGTTCACCGCTCAAAAGGCAGTGGGAGCACACTCACTGCGCCCTATCCATACCCACAGCTAGCAGCAGCAGCAGTTCCCAGGCAGTGCTGAGAGCAAGTACCAGGGCTGGGCAGTGCGTTCAGCTGCTCTCAGGCTGTGGTGTGCAGAAATGAAGGTGCTGGTTTCCCGGGGTGACTGCTAGTCCTGCTGCAAGAAGGAAAGTGAGGTTCTCCCAAGGCAAGGCAAGGTCAGCAGGGGATGGGAGCGCTGCAGGCAGCCAGGATCAGCCTCTGGCACAGCGTGGGACTGGCAGAGGTTCACACAAAAAGGAGACACTGCAATAGAACTGACCCGGTTTTCCCATTTGCCCTAATTTTTTGGCAACTGAACCTACCTGCAGGTTGCACAGAGCATGTCTCTACCACGCACAGCATCCTTACACAGCCTGTACCCAACAGTCCTTCCCAGGCCTGCCAAAGAGCACCGCAGGGTTACATCAGCCCGTGGAACATAGGCCCTAAGTGACAGAGGTACTGTAGTGCTCTCATTTCACATCCCTTTTTCTTCTACTCATCTGTCAAAGGACGAAATTAAGACTCTTTAAGAGGAACTACGCTCTTTATAAAACAACACTTTCTTGAAAGCTGGACGTTTTGTGCAATACTTAAGCAAAAAAATAACAGAAAATAAAAAACAAAACAAAATTTGAGCAAAACAAAATCAAATTTAATGTTCTTAAATGCAAAAGTAAAAACAAACAAAAAACACAAAAAAGCAAAAGAAAATTAACAGAAACAGAACAACTCAAAGTTTCAAGGCAGTCTGCAGAAAACTTGGGGGATTAATCTTTAAATCTACAAATCAAAGGGTTTTCTTTGTTAATATCTAACTTGCAAGTCGTAAGTACTTTTCTGCTGAGTGTTCAATAAGTAAAGCTAGTTGTCAAAACAAAATCCTATTAAAATAGAAAAATCTAGCACTCATTAGAAGGGATGCGAGAAATACAATGCTCAAATGTTTACAATTTTTTTTTTTTCTTTACAAAATAGAACTACCAAAGGAATTCAGACTATAATGATCTTTGAAAACGAGTATCTTGCTGCGTTATAATGTACCAGTAAGTAGTGCACCATGCATTAAATATCTGGACAGAAGAGATTCAGTTTGATAACGTAGCGACACATATTCACACTTTTGTGGAGTTTCATTTTGACTCTGAAATCTTCCCGGAGTTTCTTTGAAACTCTTTGGTCCATTCCTATTAAAAATGTTGGGCTTTAAAAGGAAATGTTGCTAAAACCTTTCAATTTGACAGCTTGGCCACTGCTCGGTGTGCAACTTACCTCATCAATGGTGTTAAAAGTTATGCTGGCATGCTACTACTTACAAGACCTCGACTTTATAAAGCGTAATCCTCAACGACACGTAGCAATGAGTATTAATCGGCAAAACAAATTTACTGTCAACTAAAACATTAGTATTTCTCAACTTTTCTTCCATACTAGCGAGTTGGGGAGGGGGAGGGGGGGGCAGAGGGGTCAGGAGAATGGGTGAGAAAAACAACAACATGAGAAACAAGCAAATCCATTAATTCAGCCTGATAGTTTTTAGAAGAGATTCCAGTTTTTGCAGACAACATTCAATGGAACAAATGTTAGTCTCATAAGTGAAAGCATGCTTCAATTTTACCACCATCCAGAGGGTCTAGTTAAATGCAATCTACTTCAGATTTCAGGGGATTGTTATTATTATTTTTTTTTTAACATGTTTTTAAATGAAATAACTTAAAGCAACTTAAAATTGGTCTAACATTGTGGGATTTCAAACATTTGAACATGTCAGTTGCATCCCAGAATATAAAACCTTTTCCACTTCTCATTTAGACTAAGACAAACACTTGTGAAAATTGGCGCAAAATGAGTTTTACACTAACAAAAATGTTTCAACTTCTGTCACTCCATTATCTATTCCATACAAAAAGCACGAGCAAGTTATTTGTGGGACTTGTTGGTTTTGAAGGAAACCTGTAAGATTTTGTCCCCCAGGCGGTAGCCATTAAGACTTGCTATGGCCATTGCAGCTTCTTCATAGTTTGTCATGGTCACAAAACCAAAACCTTTGCACTTGTTGGTGTTGAAATCCCGAATAACTTTCACATTGGTAACCGCACCAAAGGGGCCAAACATCTGCCAGAGGATTCCCTCATCAGCATCTTGACCAAGGTTGTAGATGAAGATACACCAGCCAGAAGATGCGTTTCCTGGAACATTTACACCAGAAAGCCCACTCATGTGATCTACACCCATAGGAGAGAACCTAGCAAATAAAAAGCACAATATTGCATGTAAAAGTTCAATTCAATTCAGCAAATCAACTTGAACGGGAAGCGACTGAGAATGAATATTTTCTACATGGATATCAAAACCGCCAGAAAGAAACGTTTACGCATTCAAATTGACAATCAACCAAATGGACAGCTGCCAGGAGAAACGGTGTCACGTACTCCACGTGCTTTACTTATACCTACAGGGAGCTATACTTAGAGACAGGCAGGCCGTGGTACCGTCCCAAGGCAAGTTTACGCCATCACCTTCACAAGGGGCTCAGATCAACCCTTGGCACCCAGTGAAGCACTGCTGGAGCACGGGGCAATGTGCAGCCCCTCCCCGGAGCCCAGCTTGCCCCCCAGCCACCCTCAGCTCCAATATCCAATATCCTCAGCTGTGCCAATATCCTTCTATTTTTTTCTGGCTCTGCAGTAGCGCATTGGGAACCCGTAAGTCCAAGGGTTTCTTTCAGGAGTAGCATTTGTGCGTGTGCTAATTTCAACCTCTTTCTGTGGACCAGAACAAAAACAGAGCCAAGGACGTGCTGGTGCTCCCCCAGGCCACCCTCAGCAACTTCTAGCTCCAGAACTGACATTTTGGTTTATCATTCCTTAACTCCAGGTATGAACATCTCTTAACTGCAGTGGTTTTCAAATGTAAAAATAGTACACAAGTTTTTAAGGCTGTGGTTTTCTGTACCACGTATTTACGGTTCTCTTCTCATCCACTTTATGCCAACTCCATACTCTGAACTCATCTGACTTGACTGAACTGGGTATCTTACAACCACCTGCCTGCTCTCCTTAAACCTACCCTCTGGCATCTGAGCAGGAAGAAACAATTATTTTCTGCTATATCTTGCTTTGTGTTATTTTCTTTTCTCCCATAACCCACATATCAGTCCCCTCTAATCTTCTATTTCTGCTCTTTGTCCTGGAAATTCAGAGCTTTAGGACATTTTAATGCAATATTACGGTTGCACAGCTAAGCACTCAAAGGTCAGGAAATGTGAAAGTTAAAGCAGAAAACCTCCGTTTGATCCCTTTTGCTTATGTATTACATAAAAATGTGAGGCCACGTGATTGTAGAAATATAATTATACTATACCAGGGGTTCCCAAACTGTGGTGTACCACTGGTGATATGCAAACCACTTAAATGCGGTACACGTGCTGCTCTCTGCCAAGGACATGGCGGTGGCAGATCCTGATTCTCTGCTGACCTGGAGGAAACAGGGAACGCATGTCTGGGCAGCGAGCACGGCACGCAGTGCCCAACACTTCCCCGCTGACTTTTTCCTCACCCTGTGTAAAGACAGGAGCTGCCTTCGTATAGAAGAGAGGGCCTGCAGCAGCGTGAACGAGGAGGACAGGGAGCAGAGCCGCACGGCATGCACAGAGGCAGGGCAGCCAGATCAGCATCGTGTGCAGGTGGGTGCACTCACACTTAGAGAACAGCTCAGTCCCCTCCCGCAGCCCCGGCTCTCCAGGAGAGCTCACCTCCCAGGGCAGCTGAGCTGGGAGACCCTCCTGGCCCAGGGGGAGCCTGCGGGGGCACAGCCCTCCCCTCTCGGCACCGCTGCTGCCTGCAGCCCAGCCTGCTGCTGGCGTGGTGCCCCTGAGCTCACGCTGCAGGTACTCACTGCTGCTGCCACTGCTGGCCAACCCCGAGCACATCCGAGTTTGGGAATCCTTGCACTACAGTAAAACTGAGAAAGTGGTTAAGAGGAGCAGAATGAAACGCGCTAACCCACGCAGTTCTGTGACATCTACTGAGCATTTATTTTGCTTCCATATGAAAACGTTCCTCTGTTGGCATGCTTCATATCCTTGTTGACTTTTGTTTGTTCGTTTTTTTCCCCCAAAAGACACTTTTCAGCTTTCTAACTTTTCCATGTGAGTAATGATCTCCTTATCTTAATTCCTAACAGGAAAAGGTTCATCTCAACAGATCACCAGTCTTGGGTTGCTGTGTGCAGGAATCCCTGAGCTCAGAGCCATGCAGAGTTGGTTCCAGCAGCACCTGCCTGCTACAAAGCCCCAGGCCAGCAACACCCCACCACAACACGTGCTGCAAAGGAGATGGGGCTTGAAAGCCAGAGGACAACAAATCTAGAACTATAACATGCAAAACCATGGCACGTTATGGCACTGCCACGCTTTGAGCACAATTATTTTCAAACCAGTTCTCCTCTTCCAGTTTTTTCACTCACAGAAATGCTTCAGGCTTATCAAAACAAGCAAAACCCAAACAGCCCCATCACAGCTGACCTGCACTGGCCAGAAGGGTGTCCCACCTGCACTGCTGGGGGCAGGCTGGGAGGTGAGCAACTGCATCGTGCATCACTTGTAAGCAGTATATTGCAGTAATGGTGATGATACATGTATTTCTCTTTCTTTCCTGTTTTAGCAAATAGTTTTTATCTCAGCTGTTAAGTGCTGCTGTTTGTCCTCCCTGATTTTTCCCCCTGTCAGGGAATCTGCCTGCCAGGCTGAGGCACAGCCTCAGTGTAAGCCTAATCTTTATCTGTAAACTTTTACTTTGCAGGTTTATACAAACACCCCTTTGCTAACTCTTATGAAATGGACTGAATCACAGAATAGCTTGGGTTGGAAGGGACACCGAGGATCAGGTACCAACCCCCCTGCCACAGGCAGGGCCACCAATCTCCACATCTTCAATGCATTTCAGGGTTTGCTCTAAACATGCTAGAACACCAAAGTTACATTCTTAAGCTCTAACTCTCAAGCCTGGAAGTACTTCAGCTTACCTAGCACTATTTTCAAGATTTGCAAGAAATGAAAAACAACCAAACCAACCCAAAAAACATTCTTCTAGCATAAAAATGGTGAACTATAGAAGTAGGGCAGCTGGGGATTTTGGTTTGGATTTTTAGCCTTTGGAGGCTTGACTCCTGAAGAGTTCAACACACAGAGATCCGCTGCCCATGAAGGCCAGCCCATGATGTGAGCTGTAAGCCACAAACACTGCAGGAACTAGAAGAGATTAGTGGAATGTTCAAGAAAGGATCTGAGCAATATCTGTAGGAAATTAATAATTACAAATTAGAGATACGAAAGGCTTAATCCTGGATTTACCTTCCATCGTATGATGGAACGAGATGGAGTGTAATCAAAATGCTAGTTGAAGTATTCAGCCTCTGGAGTAGCAGACACAGGCATCATTTCTGCAGGCTGTGAGCTCTCTGGGGGCAGCTTATCATCTCATCAGGCTTTGTACACTGCAGAAAGCAGACAAGGCCCAGCCCAAGCCATGGTCCCTCAGCTTTAACACAGCATCAACTGCTCTAACTGTCAGCATCATAGAACCATAGAATGGCTTGGGTTGGAAAGGACCTCAAGGATCAAGTTCCAACCCCCTGCAGTTAGCCTGAAGGGTGGGAAAAAATAAGGGCTGTGGGATAGTGGATGTGCTGGCCAAACTTCTAAAGAATCACAGAATCGTAGAATCACCAAGGCTGGAAAAGACCTCCACGATCATGCAGTGCAACCATCCACCTACACCAATAATGCCCTCTGCACCACGTCCCTCAGAACCACATCTACGCTTGAACACCTCCAGGGATGGTGATCCACTACTCCCTGGGCAGCCCATTCCAGTCCCTGACCACTCTTCTGGAGAAGAAATCATCCCTATTATCCAAGCTGACCCTACCCTGGCACAACCTGAGGCCATTCCCTGCTGTTACCTAAGCAGGGGCCAACCTTCCCCCACCACAACCTCCTTTCAGGCAGTTGCAGGGAGCAATGAGGTCCTCCTGAGCCTCCTCCTGACTGACCCATCCCATTCCTCCAGCTGTTCCCCATTAACATGTGTGCTCCACTGACCCTCTCTGGACACACTCAAGACATGAAGAGAAATGGACAGCTCTTCTTCAAGTCAACTGGAGAAGCTTCACCTCAGCTCCACTACCTGCCTAGAGCAGCAAGCCCTAACCCAGACCTGCTCCTCCAGTACCTCAGCCAACCCAACAGAACACCCTCTGTTCCTCCTCCAGGAGCTCACAGCTGGGAGCAGGAGCTGCCCAGGAGAGGGAATGCAACAGAAAGGCTAGAGCATCAGGAGAGCTGGGGAGTGCCTGCACGGAATCCCCTGTGCTACAGCAGAAGGGATGGCAGATTTGGAGCACACAGTCTCTCTAAGGGTCCAATCACACGGTAAGGATTTTTTTTCTTATGTTTCCTATAAGGTATCAGATGACAGAAGCCCTGTTCCTACTGGAGACATGCTGTGCCTGGCTCTACGTAACAGCTCTGCCATGGTCACCACAATGCTGGCACTGCATCGACTGCCCTGCGTTTTGCAGTCCAGGTGTTGCTGAGCTAATCCATAGCTCAGAGGAGGAAAAAAACAGATGTCAATTCTCAACAGGGCAAGAATACTCTCAAACTGTCAGGAACACCTCAAAACAAAGCCAGCATCTCATCTGCAGGACAGCAAGCACAACACGTGTTCCTGAGCACAGCTAACCATCAGCGTTCTTCTTTAAGCAACTAAGGCGACTCATCTCCAAATTCAGTCTATTCAAATTCAAAGCAGATACAGCAAATCTCAGAGGCAAAATGCAGAATGATCTGCACAGCTCAGGAAGCTGTGGAACACTGCCACAACCCAACAACCTCCCTGACCTCACGAGAGGAGACAGAGGCAGAAACCCCACCCGAACTCTTCATCAGACACATGGTTTTCCCAACTTACTGTGATTTACTAATTCTCCCCCTCTGCTGGAACCAATGGTTCAGAGCTTTAATTAAAGTTGCCAAAATATCTCTGCATTCAGATATAGGGACTACAGAATGGGGATCTGTTGAGACGGGCACCTGCAGCGCGCTGAGCCGTGGCGACACACAGTTGTCTGCGCCTTCACACCGCTGGCTTTAACACACATTTTACAAGTAAGGTTTCACTTTTCATCGTCTTTTAATTCAGCAATCCGTTTACATCATGCTGCACAGCGCTGCAATGAGGAGACTCAGCATGCAGCTGCAACCAGCATCCCTCCTAACCTACCTGAATCTCTGCGCCTGGTGGTGGACCGGCCCTCCGAACCGCCTCGCTGGTGAATGACACAGCTGGGACAACAGTGCCACGTTTTTGTTCTGGTTGGGATTGGCTGCAAACTTCACCGTGATGGGTTCGGAGGAACCTGGGGGTTTGTGACCATTGAAATTTGTAATTGCCTCTTCTGCTTCTGACCTTTTGTCAAACCGGATAAATGCGACCCCTCTGGATAAACCTTTTAACCAAATCGATAAAGAAAAGAAAAAAATAACAAACAAACAAACAAAACAAAAAAAAAAAACAACAAAACAAATAAATGAAATTCAGGATAAACTCAAAATAATCTTGAAAGTAAAAATTAAAAGGTTAAAAATCTCTGCGGTCGTAGCTTTCAAGTTGTCTACATTTACTACTGGTTCATCAGCAGCTAGAGAATCACACACAAAACCAAGAAACAAAAGGCAAACCAACGTGCTCGTGCCAGTGCTACCAACCAGAGTGAGCTCACACCTGCCACGTGCTAAAAGTAAAGAAAATCCAACATGGTCAAACTCCGAGACATCAAGCATCAAATGACATTTCCCATTAACAACAACAAAAGGCATTTGAAATTAACCCCCCCTCAAAAAGAGCCCCACGAAGGGGAGAAAAATGAAACCAGAAAGCTTGTGATGGCTTTGATTACTGTATCACCAGAAATCACTTGCAAATACAAAATTGGCACTGATTTTCCAAACATTTTCAGTTTTCCAGCCCTGAGGCACACTTGCAGACCACAGCAGGAGGTGTTTAACCCTCTGTAATAAGGATGCACGGTTTCACCCATGCCAGGTCCCCTATTTCAGTAATGGGGGTGAAGCAATGACTTCTACTTCTACACACCTGCACCATGAATGACCACATCATACCCAACTGAATGTGGTTACCTCTGTGCTAGGGAAGGAATGCAGTGTGATGTGGGGACGTGGCAAGCAGAAGGGAATCCGTGCCCTCAAACTGCTCCAGAATGGTGTGAGGGGAGGCATGTTTGTGTTCAGGGCATCGGGAGAACATCTGGAAATGACGTCTCATCCTATTTACTCCATGCCATCAGGCAGACCATCAAACTGTGCTTCTCCCTCGATTCACCTGAGATACAGCAGAGGTGAGTCTTGGAACAGATCAGACCTTGAAAGCTGGAGGATGGCCTCTGCTGGAGGTGAGCCTTGAAGCACAGCCCCAGCCAGGCCCAAAGCTGAGCACCGATGGAGGTGTGCAGTCCAAGAACAGATGCCTGGGTGATGTTGTGCATAATGAAACCTGAAATACATTCTGTGCTGACCACCTGTGTCATGAGCTGCAAGTTCTGGGCTGACACAACCAGACAATGCCATCCCCAACAAGACCAGCAGGAACAGCATTACTCCTGGGGAGGCTCATTGACAGCATCTGCCACCTTGCTCTACAGGGGCATCTGAGTGGGACAGAACTATAGAGATTCTGCTGGCAGAGAAGGGCAGCTATCTTGGGACACTTCCAGCAGTAAGCTTTCTGTGCCTTCTTTCTTGCTTCTACCTACAGCTGTGATCTAGGTCACCAGCTCAGACCCATACAGACATCACTTACAAAAATGAATCCTTCTCTCCCCGGGACAGGAAGGATGGGATTCTCTTCCTCAGCTTGGAAGTGCCTGCAGATGGGTGTCCAGATTTCACCTGCATCCACATTTACAGTGCCTGATCAAACCAGAGCTCTCAACAGCAATTCCCTGCACAGGAAATCAGCTCTGAGGGAGGCACAAAGGCTGCTCTGAAAGTAATGCCTCCTATTTCACGCTGTTGGTCCACAGTCTCAGAGGTGGATGTTGTTGGGATGGCAGTAGGGGATGAACCTTTCCATCAATATGCCATTACATTTTGTTGCTATGCATGTCCCATGGACATCCATTGATCCTAACTGCATGTTTACTGGAGACCAAACAGCAGTTGGGAACACAGCGAGTGGTGGGTGGTGAATTCCAGCAGTGATGTGAAAGAGAAGCCACACTGTAGATGGCACACAGTTGTTACACCATGAAATGAAGTGCAGATGAACTGATTAGGATGCACAAACTGGGAACTGCATATAGAATTGAACACTGGCTTCAATGTGTTGGAAGCAATGGTGGCAGTGCTGGGATATCACAAAGGCTGAGCCAGGTGGGTCCCACAACTGCTCACACAGGAACAGAAAGCATATTGTCTGCCTGTTTGCCAGGGCCTGATGAACCAACACGAGGCTAAAGGTGATGGTTTCCTGGATTGCATCACTACTGCTGACGAGAGGTGGCGTCACCTCTATCAGCCAGAGTCAAACCAGCAGTCCATGGAGGGTTGGTTTCCCCAGTGAAGAAAAAGTCTGCAGAGGGGAACATGATATGCACCCACTGCATAGCCCAGATCTGGGGCTTCTCAGTTCCATCTGTTTGGATCAATGAAAGGTGGACTCTGTGGGCAACATCTTCCAAGCATGGAATGCCATCATGGGAGCTGTGAAACAGTGCATCACTTCTGCTGCATGCAGCTCGTTTGTGCTGGGGAAAATGTATAGCTCATGGTGGTGATCACACTGAAAACCAGCATTTTGTGGCTGAGAACGTGGTCCATCAGATGGCATTATGATGCTCTTTGTGACAGTTGTAGTTTCCATGAAGATAAATAGGAGGCATTACTTTTGGAGCAACCTATGTACATGGTAAGACTTCCACACTCAGTCAGGTGAATCTCACCAGGAGCTGCTGACTGCCCACTCTTAATTGCAGTCCATTCCTCATAGAGATCAGAGCTGCTCCTTAACTAATGTGTATAAGCAAGCCTGCTGCCGTGCATAAATCCACCTCCTCACACTACACCTCATTCCCCACTTGTCTTCTATTCTAATCCAATGCACTCTAACAGCAGAGTGTATTTGCAGAAGTACTTTCCAAACTCCTAAGTGACAGATGGGCTGCTGGAAAAAACCAGAGTGCTCAGGTCACAGGACAAGCCAAACTATTCAGTCAGACAGTTGGAAATCATGAGGTAAGAAATTACAACTGAAAACACATCCATAACATCAAGTCAGCTTTAGTCCCTCCTGAGCTCAGCAATTAACAAAGGAATTTCTTTGTTCTTTGGGGCATTTTGGTGGTAGTTGTTTTGGTTTTGTTTTTAAGCCATAATATTCAGAAAATTCCAGGGCAGCAATTCACATCTGAGGTTCATTCTTCTGGTCCAGTAACCACAGAGCATCGTTCAACACCTCGGGTGGTTTTAAAGTATCAAGAAATTGCGTGAGTGAATTCCAAGTTAGCATAAAGGAGGAAACACGTTGGTGTTTCCATCTGCAGCTTGGTATTCACCCGTGAATAGCAGTTGTGTTTGTAAGAATTAAATGCTGGCCAGCAGCGTGGCAGGAGCACACTGCAACGTCAGAGCAGGAGAGATGTGGCAAAGCAGCAGCTCAGCCTGGTACAACTGGTGGTGAAAACACAGAGTGAGGAGCTCAGACTGCAGCCCAGCACGGTGCTTAGCAGCCTTAAGCCATTCCTTGTGCTTAAAAACAGAAACCAAAACCAAGACCACATCAAAAAAGGACAGCGCATCCCACTCGTGTCAATGGCTGATCCCAGGTGCCACAGTTTGCCCTAAACAAACCAAATTGTCTTAAGTCAGCCCAAGAACATCCAGACTCTGAGGAGGGACTGGAGGTGCCATGCATCACAGTCCCAGCTGATGCAATTGGACCCACCTGTGGTTTGATCCACGAGTACACGGGAATTGATGATGCGCCCAAAACGTGAGAACATATCTTCTACATCCTTCTGTGTCATCGACCTCGGGAGCCCACTGATGTATAAATTAGCGTCCTTGATAACTTCAGAACTTGGACGAGCATAGGAGACCTTGAAACAAATCAATCATTGAAATTAAATAAAAAAGAGGGTCTATTTAAATAGAGAGAGCAGCTTATTGTCATCAGTTCTTGTGTTTAGACCCCACTGAACGATGCAAGCTTCTTTTGTTTAACTTCCTGGAGTTCAGGAAAGGCAGATGGGCAAAAGAAAACTGCCAGGGCAGAAGGAAGAATCATGCCCACACCACCAGAACCAATCAGCATTCTGATTACAAGCTTAATACAATGCTGTTATCACAGACTCATCTGTACGTCCTACCTTGATGGTTTTTGACTGCAGTCTGAGGCCATTCAGTGTGTTTATTGCTCTTTCTGCATCTTTTGCAGTGACGTAGTTCACAAAGCCATAGCCTAAGCTGTGTCCTGCAGGGAAGAACACATTGTTTTAAATCAGTCCTTGCTAAAGAGAGTTATCACCACCAAAACTAAAGGAAATGCAAAGGAGGAAAATGAACTCCAACATAATCCATCATGCAAATACTTAAATACACTGAAGAACTTTCCAAGCATGCACTTCACGAAAGAACCCCTCTGAAGCTCTTATTTGCTGCTTCAGACACCTTGGAGAACAGTCCATCTCAGACAATGATCCATCAGCTGTAAATTCAGGACTGAATACTGAGCAGGGCTGCAAACTACATGGGGTGTAACAAAGGCACAGAGTGACAAAGTGCACAGGTACACACTCCTGCAGTTAGAGCAGAAAGTGAAAGGTGTCAGCAGATGAACTCCTGGGTAAGCAGCCACCAAACAACACGTTTGTGTGCTTTGGTTCAACCTTCACTCCTGGAGACAAGAGAGAAAAAGGTCTCATTCCTTCACATGTCCATACTGCTAATGAGCAGCCAGGGCTCCAAACCAGACAGAGCTGAAGTGTGACAGCAAAAGTAGCCTTGAAGATAACACTTAACTCTTACAAAAAGAATCTGAGAGTAACGATGCAAAACTCTTTGGAACATTTCAGGCAAAGGACATCTCACTGGATATTTATCTGCTCTGTGTGCCACAGCAGCACAGGGTTGCAGGCTCCCCAGTTAGGGGCTCTCCTGACAACCCTGCTTGGCTCTGCAGCAGTCTCTGCTGGCACGAAGAGCTGCCTGGCACATTTCTGCCTTCATCTGCTTTGTTATGAGATGCAATACATCACCAGCCCATCCAAACCCAATTAACGTCACGCCGCCCATTTCGTTGTATAAACAGCCCCTGTTAATTTCTACACTTGCTTTTGAAAGATGCCAGACCCACTCCAAGTCAGCCCCTCGTGCAGGAGCAGCACCCTGCCCTCCTACCATCATTACAACACCTCCACCAGCACAGAGCAAACCTCCCTGACACACATTTATTCTGACATTTAACTGCCACAGAAACAAACACAAGGCAGGATCTCAGATCTATCCTCTATGCCCTTCTCTTTTAAACACCTACAGATGACTTCAGCAAATGGAACAGAAAATGCACGCTGTGATGAGGTACAGCTCTGAAATCCCAGTCACAGATGGTTAGTCTGCAATCGCTTATCTGAGTTTTTTCCTCCTAATTAAGAAAATGCATTATTTATCAATTAGAAACATGTTTATCACATGGAGCCAAGCATACTAACCTAAGAAAACAAAGATGAGCCAAGAGGGAGCCCACACCATGCAGAGATGCTAGGCAGGGATCGCTCCATAGGCAGGGTACCACACCCCAGCTTGTGACAAACACATCAGCAGAACTGGGTCCTGATTCTGGAAACAGCCCCTAAAGATCCAGACCACATCCCTGGGTGAGGAGAGCTGCATCCAAAGCACTGCCTGCCATGCCAGGGCTGAGCAGCATCGCCCTGCCAAGCTGCCCTCGCTGTTCTGGGCCTCAGTGCAGAGCAGGTGAACAGAGCAGGTCCTTCTCTGCTTTCCTGCATTCAGCCCCCGAATACAAGAGGAATTTGCTGTTCTTGGCCAGCAGCTGTCCTGCAGAGCCTTGGGTGGCTTAAGTGTTGATGCACAGTCCGAGATCAGTGACAAGGAAGGCTAAGCTACTTACTTTTGTTTTTATCCCATACACACGTAACCATGCTCGTGGATACAGGGGACCAAAAGTCACGACCCAGGCCAAAGCCCTGCAGTTACACTGTACCTACTGCCCTCCCCTAAAGAAGGAACTTCACAGGGAAATGCACTGGGTTTTCACCCCAGCACCTCCAATCTGAGAGCACATCCTAGAAATCCCCCTCCAAAGCTCTCCCTTTCTAAAAGCGGCTCCAAGTTTATCCCTATTTACTTCATACCCACTTGTTCTTGTGAGAATGCTGTCCTCCAGCTTACATGTGCTCACCCCTCCTACTGCCTGCCCCCCCATTACCCAGACAGTAACCACATCCCCCATGTCTTTTCTTTACTATCTTCACCTGAGCACAACTCTGCACCTTTCCCACTCCTCAACCACAACTCCTGATCAGAACAGCCTGCGAGAAGAGAGGGCAGGGACAGAAGCCAAGGTGGGTAGAACAGCAGTTCAGATGGCAGCACCCAGCCGGGCTTTCAGGGCAGTGCATCCCTTGGCCTTGCTTGGGCAGCCTTCAGCTCCAGAAATCCAGTTCCCAAACTAAAAAGAAGCTGTCGCTAAATGAAATTGATGGCTTCTCTCTGAGCAGCACAGAAATGAGAAGGGGGTGGGACTGCTGCACCCAAATGGAATCACACAACGCAGATCCTTCTCCTTCATCCCCGTGTTTTATCTCCTCTGCATGCAGAAGGTGATGTCAACACAGCCCCACTGCTCAGCAGACATTGGCACAGCACAACAAAGTGCTGAGCAGCTGCTCAGAGCAAACTGCTCCATTCGGCACCGTTTGCCTCCCACTCGGCTCACAGTGCTGCCACACTGGACTCCTGTGGGCACCCCGAGCTGATGAGAAAATAAAGAGGACTTGGGAACTGCTGACCCCCTTGGAAGAAATCCACTCCCATTTGGAAGAGCTCTGGTAATGACACCGATGGAGAGGAAATCAAGGCGTGTGGTGCAATGAATCTGAAGGCACGGGGAGGTCTGCATGGCAGCCAAGCATGTGGCTCATCCTCAGCCTCTGCCCCACCACACACATCTTCACATGGAGAAGTTACCTCTGCAACTGCTGAGCTCATTTCCTCAAGTGCTCCTGGCCACTGCTTACTAAATTGGTTAATTAAAGAAAATCAAAGCTAGCAATTCAAAGAGGAATGGAGACCTAAACAAGCAGTGATGATGCACGCTGACCGGCTGCTGTTGGCCCAACTCCATGGAGCTGTGTCCTGGGACAGCAGAGGCTGCACAGCTCCGTGCAGACCCAGCTCCTATGGATCAAGGAATCTGCAGGGTGAGCTGGGCAATGGATGGCACAGAAACGGCCTGCAGCATCTCACACTTCCCAGCACGTGGCTGGCAAGCAGATCCCAAAGCCCAGGCACCAGAGGTTTAGTCAGAAATAAGTGTTTTCAAACACATACCCAAATCCCATTATCTCATCGGGTCTGGGAGGCAGCGTTGGATGCTAAGGCCTGGGAAGACTGCCTGCTGAAGCCTACAAGAACAGGGCCTAACATGGGAAAAGGAGTGGGAGTGTCAGAAGGGCTGCGTGGCTGAGCAGGGAACTCAAGGCAGAGCTGCCATGCAAACAAACAGCATACAGGAGATGGAAAAAGCAGAGGTCTGTAAGAGAATGAAGATCAGAAACAGACCACTTGGTGTCAGGAGAGCCAAAGCTGAACGGAGGTTGAGAATTCCAAGAAGAACAAGTCAGCAAGCCATCTTCAATAGAAACCAAGAGGCCACTCAGGCTGGCTGGCATCATGGTTCCAGCAAAGTCATGGAGCAAGTCTTCTGGGGACAGGAGGGCAGCCAAGAGACACCAGTGGGAGCATCACATGGGATACTCACACCCAGCCAAGCTTCTGATAGAAGGACTGGGTTTGTGAACACGGGCAGAGCAGCAGCCGTGGCTCATCTTGACTTCAGCAGCTCAAACATACACTCCACATACAAGCACCACAAAGCCAACTCAGCACAAGCTGGGACTTCACCCTGGATGCAAGGGACAGCTCCAAGGACACCACCATCACCACAATATTGGAAGTTTACACCATATTGGAAAATATTGGAAGTTTAGACCATTTGCAGAAAGAACAACAGCTCCAAGCCCTGAAAACCTACCGTAAAATCTGAGTTCCTTAAGCTTTAGGACAGATTTTGTTCATCAGTTGTTGGAACGGAAAGTACTTTTTCACTGGAAGAGAATTAAAGTGCTCCAAAATGATGCGGGGCAGTAACTCCAAATATAAACATGCTAAGAAACACGAGAGCACAATTAAAAGTTTCACAATGTGGCTCATTCTGTCAGGTTGGTGGGGGAAAAGAAGGGCAAAGGAAGAATCCCACTTTAGTAAAGCAGAGCACTTCACACAATGAGCAGCTCATCAGCACGGGCCTTTCTGGCTTCATGTGCCTCTGTATGATGAGGAGCAATCAGTGTCTCCAAGCACAGAATGCTAAGATAATCAAAGACTGTCTTAAAAAACCCGGGGTAACAGAGCATTCCCATCACAGTGACAAGAACTGCACAACACTGTGGTTGTTTCCCATGCAGAAGGGAACAATTTCAGGCAAACAGAATACTTGAATGCTTTCCAGGAGACAAGAATATTTCAGAACTCTGTTAGTAGACTGGAAAGGAACAGCAAGTGACAGCAGCATGAGCAGTCATCCCATCACAGGAGCTACAGCGACGTGCTGCCTGTCAGCGTGTAACGCCTTCCTTCCCTCTGTGTGTTAAGAGGTGCCTGCTTCTGGTTTGGGCTGCACCACTTCTATGAGAGGGTCTTCCAGAGAAGATGTAATGAAAAGAAGCATGCATGCTGGCTCCTGTAATTCCAGCCACCTAGAACTGATCCTGTAAGCAGTGGGTTAACACACACGTCGGTGGTGCAGCTGAGCTGCGATCAACAAATCACCTGGGAATGCCCACTCTGCTCCATGCCTTTCCAGCAAGGACAGAGGGAGAGCTTTGTCCTGGAGCTGCTGATCCAGGTGTGTGACTGTGAGCTCCAATACTCCAATATGCAGAACCTGCAAGGAATTCTGCCATCACCTCCCATTGCACGCACAGGCATGGCCAGATTTTAGTAGCTGACGGGTTTAGGCAGAGGCTCTGGTGCACTCTGATGGATCATATCCTTGATTCCAAATGTAGATGCATTATTCTCTCTTCAAGCAGTGTAAGACTCCAAGAATGGAGTGAGGAACGTGATGTCTCCCTCCTGCAGCCACACCAGCATCTATCAGAGCACTGCTATGGAGCAGCACACACCAGGTACTCCCATAGAGCACAGCACGGATCCCACGGGCAGCTGAGGCTGTGGGAAAAGTTTAACCCAACTGTTCCAAAGCTCTAGGGTTGTCAGGTATGCAAGTGTCAGCAATCCTGCAAGGGGAGGGAAGACTGAGACAAAAACATACGTTCACAGGACGTTAATTTTTAGCTCCAGCATTTGGTCCAGCTGCAGAACAAGGAGAAACGGCTCAGTGTTCACCTGTAAGAGCACAGCAGACTGGAAACACAGAATCTGGATGCCCTGGCACATCATCCAAGCGTCCTTGATGCAAAAGACAGGACAGGGTGCATTTCCTCTGTAGAGCCACCCATGGCAGCAGGTAACAGCACACACACTGCTGGGCAGGGATCAGCACAGAGCACAGCTTTGGGACCAGGATGTCTGAAGTCAGCCTTGGAAAGTCACAGCCTCGTTAGCACAGAAAGACCAGACAAACCATGGTTTGTCATTGCTTGCAGCCTCACAGAGAGCCCTCCAGCTGAACTGGGTCAATGGCGACTTGCAGGCCTCAGCAGTAACTAAAAAAGGCCAGGAGACACAACAGCAAAAAGTACCATCTCAGACTTGACACTGTGCCACACTATATTGGGCAGTGACCTTCTAACGTTTCCCTGGGGCTCTGAGTCGGTGCTGGCCTTCAAGTCTGACAGAAAGAGCAATGCCCTGTGAGTGCTGTGCGTGTGAAAATCCTGGATGTGATGCTCACCACAAATGTAAGCACAGGGAGCTGCAGTGCCAGGTTTGGCTGCAAGAGCACAGATGCTGAGCACTGATGCACTCCTCACAGACGAAGAAAACTCATGTCTGGAATCACTCTGGAATGTGGGGACGAACTGGAGAGTGCAGACACTGACAGCTCTGCTCACTGCTGCCATCAGTGAGATCTGGAAGGGTGCTTCTCTTTATGGTTATTGCAGAAATAAAATGAAGTTATCCCAGACTGACCAAAAAGCAAACGTATGGCCACGCTTCCAGCAGCCAGTCATCGATCTGCAACGGCTCTGCAGGAGGCTGAGGTGAGTTCACTAAATCATTAACAACTGCAATCAATCAGGCAGAAGGGACTTTCTGCCCCGTGTGGTCCGTTAATAGATTGAGGAAAAAGCAGAGATCAGCCACTGTCTTGTGAAAAATAAGCATCGAGCCCAAACACTGCTGTTAACTGAACAAATACAGTCAACGGAGGCAGCTAAACTGAGAAGTCTGATTCCCACAGAACATGAGGTTACCTCCCCCACTGCCTCCTGTGCCAGCATCACAATCTGCCCACTGCCCAGCCACAGGGCCACAGGCTTTGTTCTGTGCTTCTGCTCCTCCATCACAGAGCCCTGCAGGGTCAGCCAAACGCAGGAAAGCAGGAATCTACTGCAAGACCCCCCCAGCCCCTCCTCCTCACCCGCAGCACAGAGACCTGGCCTTGCTCAGCACCATGAGATGTAGGGCAGCTGACATACAACAAAAGGCTTCATAATGTTCCCCTGAGCAGCCTTGTTTCCTTGCAAAACAGCCTCCAAAGCAAGCCTCCACTTCTCAGCATCTCAAACTGCACAACAACAGCTAGGCTGAAAGCTCAGCTACCCACATGTTCTAAGAAAAGTGCATTTCATGCCATTATTTTCATGAGGAATTTACTCATACTGTCCCTAAGTGTGTATTTTGATAAAGCATCACCAGGCAAAGCCAGAGCCTGGCACTGCTTTCAGATGAGCACACATACAAAGCCACTGAGAAAATACATTTCACATTTCTTGTTATCCAGTTCTCATTTCTACTCTCAAGAGCGTAACAAAATCAGTGAGGGCAACGCAAGAACTCTTGTGCATTTCACTCACTTTCCTGTGGTTTTCATGGTGAAATAGTTAAGGTCTGTTTGATACGGATCAGATGATGATTTAAATCAGTATCACATTCTGCAGTACTGAGTGCATGGAACAGAAAACCCCACAGCACAGCTGCCTGCACACCACGAGCAGCACCAACACTTCATCACTCACTGCAATAACTGCCTCTATCTCCCACTGCACCAAAGGTTCTAAACAGGAATCACCACAATTTGTACACACAGCCAAACAGTGCAAGGGTTAAAGCACACTGACAGCACATGCAAAAAGCTCTGCAACCACACAGAGCTCACAGACCCAGCTCTGTCTGCTCCCATGTACACGTTATGTTTCACTAATGAAATACTCCATTCCTCCTGTTGTTTTTAAAGCAGTGACCAACAATCCCACTTCAAGGGCTTACAAGTGAAATGCCTGAGGAACAGCAAGCCCACAGCACTGTTTCAGACACACAGCACATGTCTTTTTACTGATACACACACACTGATCATCTATATCCTGAGTTCATCATAGAATCACAGAATGGCGAGGGTTGGAAGGGACCTCAAGGATCATGAACCTCCAATCTCCCTGCCACATGCAGGGCCACCGACCTCCGCATTTCATACCACCCCAGGCTGCCCAGGGCCCCATCCAACCTGGCCTTGAACACCTCCAGGGATGGACGGGGCATCCACAACCTCTCTGGGCAGCTGTTCCACTACCTCACCACTCTCATAGGAAAGAACTTCCCCCTGACATCCAACCTCAATCTTCCCTCCCTCAACTTCAAACCATTTCCCCTCGTCCTGCTGTTATCTCCCCTTTCCAAGAGCTGACTCCCCTCCTGTTTGTAGGCTCCCTTTAGGTACTGAAGGCTGCAATGATTCACCCCACAGCCTTCTCTTCTCCATGCTGAACAAGCCCAGCTCCCTCAGCCTGTCTTCATAGGGGAGGTGCTGCAGCCCCTGCTCATCTTTATGGCTCCTCTGGACCCTCTCCAACAGCTCCCTGTCTTTCTTGTACTGGGGGCTCCAGCCCTGCATGCAGTGCTGCAGATGGGGCCTCACAAGAGCAGAGCAGAGGGGGACAATCACCTCCCTGTCCCTGCTGGCCACCCCTCTGCTGATGGAGCCCAGGATACCATTTGCTTTCCAAGCTTCGTTTCCTGATAGGTAAGGAAATCAGTGCCAAAAAATCTCTGACTGCAGGAAAAACAGGTTTGCTAGGGATCCAATTCAGACTGCTTGAAGTATGTATGCATCCTGGTGCTCAAGGTTAGGAATCACAGCTGCACAGAAAGATTCTAGATTCGGCCTCAAGCATCCTGCAGGACTAAGCACTGTGCACTGGGCGTTACGGATGCACAGCAGTACTTGGATAACACAGACACACAGCAACATGAAGACATTCCACACTAAACTGCTCCCAGGCAGTTGGTGGAGGGCTCCATCGAGTTAAAATTCATTGTTCTTATATCATACCTGCAACTTTGTCCCGAATCAGCTTTGCAGATTCAACTTCGCCAATACTGCTAAATAGGCTCCGTAGCTCATCCTGCGTCATGTTCTGGGGGAGGTAGTTCACAATGAGATTTGTTCTGCCGATGTCATCTCTGCAATCTTCAGCCATGTGATCTTCATAACCATTAGACATCTTATAACGTGTCTGCAAAGACAAAAACCCCAAATAAATAAGTTGCAGAGCTCTGTGTGAGCTAAGCCTCCTCCACCTGCCATAAGTCGGAGTGTTTATTTCAGACAAAAAGCAATTGTTCCAACTATGCATATTTTTCCCTACTTGTAAAACAAAACTATTTTTGTTGCCATTCCCAGAAGAATTCATTCCTTCAAACAGCATTTCGGGGAACCACGTGGCACACTGCACAGCTCCCACAGCTCCTTTCCCTCAGTGCAAAGGGAAGGAATGGCAGCAGCTCTTAATGCACGTCGCTATAAACCCAACCATCGCAACAGCAGGGTTAAAGCCAGAAAGCCCATATCCACAGAGGGAATACTGTCATGGAAGAGAGACTTTCAGTCCATTCTCCAGCATCTGCTGAGTAACACTGAGTGTTTGCTTTACACTTCTTGGGGAAGTCAATGTTCTTAGTGGGAAAAAAACAAACAAATAATCGAGCACACCGTATGGGAACAAACCACCACCAGACCCACAGCCCAGTACACACTGAGATCAAATCCTTTGTTTTGTGAGGATGGAATGAAGCAAATCATAGAAGGGGTCTTGTCACTGTGCACTGAGAAGCCTCTGAGCCCCACATTTCTACATCTCAAGTGCCAACAGCACCAAACCCCCCACCCACCCCCAGGACAGGCATCTGCTCCATGGAAGCAGTGGGAAATCGTGGCAGGAGGGAAGCAGTTATGCTGTGTCAGCTCTTGCTTTCTTTGCAGCAAGATAAGCACAGGAACCAACAACAGGATAGGAGAACAAGGGGAGAAGCTGCAAAGCTAGGAGCCAAGCAAGATATTCCTCACTTCTGCATCCCAAGCTGTCAGACTGTCTCAGCTGTACTGCAAAGCTGTACCAGCAAGCACAGGTCCCCTTCCAGCTGTGCCAGAGCTGTGCAGGCACAGGCTCACAATCTGGGCTCCTGCTCTGCTCCAGGGCACCAAAACACCTGAACCTTCCTTGCTCACCTCACTGCAGCCACTGGGCCAGGTGGCTGAGACAGTTTCCAAGTTGTTGAAAGGCAATCTTCCCAAGCACGGAGCTCCCAGACCTGCACGTGGCACTAAGCAGAAGTGACAGCACTTTGGCAAGTGGCTATCAGCTTGAAATCACTGTACCACAGCCCCTCACTGCACTGCCTGCAACGCTCACCTCCATTCCCTGTGATAAACACACAGTGCCCAGGGCACTGCTGATTCACAAGTTTGCTAAGAAGGCAAACGTACAAACCAGGCTGACATAGGAACGCTCTCAGGGAGGATTCCTGCTCCTGACACAAACAGCTCAGAGGTTTGCTACGTCCTCCCTTCACCCACAGGCCCACAAAGGCCAATGTTGGGCTCACAGATTTGAATGCAGACACCAAAACAGATGATAGATGATAACATGAGCACGTTAGCTACTGCAGAACCTAAGAGGGAAACTGCTTTTCCACGAGCAGTGAGCTCTGTGCTGTCACACCAGCACTTTGCTTTCCAGCCCTGAAGCACTTCTCATCCACCCAGGCTGCCAGCGGTGCTGAGCACAAGAAGATCAGAGCTATGTGAACAGCTCCATGGTTTCTGCTATCACAGACTGCACCAACAGCTGACACTTGGCCCAAGAGAGCACTGGTGAGTGAGCAGGGGCTGCACTGAGCCAAGCAGTGCTGGTGGGGCTCTGCTTCGGTCTCAAGGGTTGGTCCCTAAAGGCACTGGTTGATCTCAAGGAGAACTCCAGGGCCATACAAACAGCCCTCCTCCTCGTTTTGCAGCAGAGGGACGATGCTTATTGACATGCCTCCTCTCCCACAAGGCTCAGAGGCAAACAACAAACTGCTATCTGGTCTGGGCACTGCTCTACTGCTCAATGGTGAAGCTACTGGGTAGGCTTCCTTGGAGACAATACCTGAAACAGAGCAAGAAGGACACTGCTACGCCAAGGGCAGTGCCAAGCAGAGCCCCACAGTCACAAGGGATGGGTGCAGAGGAGCTGAGAAGCCCAGCACTGAGCACATGGCAGTGCCACACACACCAAAAGGCAAAGCAGAGCACAGTGAGCTCCCATCAGTCCCCACCCACCAGGAAAGTCATTTCCAACAACATTCCAACACAGCCTTGATGAAACAGAGCTTCTTTTGCAGCCAAGAGATGGCTCTGAGAAGCAAGAGTTCAATCCAGGCACAGGGTGGAACAACAAATCCCCACGGAGATCACAGTGAGGATGCAGATCACCACCACCAGGCCCACGTGCCTCCAATGCTCTGCAGCCAGAACGCTGCTGTCCCACCTCTGATCCAGATCCCTCTGCAGACACCACAAATCTCCCCCCAGGACCCTCTTGGCACCCTGCACACAGCCTGGCTTGGTGGCACAGGGCACCCATATGGCATCTGGGATCTGCTTCTTCTGGATGGAGAAATAAACCCCAGCAAGGCAACTGCTTAAACATGCCCACGTGGGGGACTCCATTAAAACTGCCTTTAACCACCAGGAGGATCCTTGCCCACTGTCAGGCCGCACAAGCTGCTGAACCCACACGTGTTGAAGCTCCTTCTGCTCATCCATCCATGGAACCCATCGTGCCTGCTTGCCGGTCCTGACGAGTTTTCAGCTTTAATGGACTTTTATTGATTTCTTTCCCCCCTGTGCAATCCTGGAACGAACACATCTCCTTTCCCCACTGCTTCAGTGTGGTTGTACTGAAGGTGCCAACATTTCCTCTCAGTTCTAATGGCAAAAAGGCCTCCCTCCACCACCGCCACCACCTACTGCCAAAGCCCATCACACGTCTCCACATTCTTTACTCCTCCGTGCCTCCAAGGGGCATTTCCACCATGATCACATTTGCCTCAGAACGCTTCCAAGCTCCTCTCAGTGATCCTCACCCACCTCCATGCGGCGAGTGCTGCTCCCAGTGCTTTTGGTGGCACTCAGAGCAAGAAGGGCTGGAGGCCAAAAGAGAAACCACTGCCAGCAATGGGAAGGAAACCAGAACAGCAAAGGGGCACAGAACCACGAGCAGCTGCTCATCTCCACCCTCCTCTGCTGCAAAAACACACCATGGGCAGCGTAAATCCTGCACACAGCAGGGTTAGAACCAGGTGACCGCGATGGTCCTTTTCAATCCACGATGCTCAGCAGCACAGCGCGCATCGCCTCCACAGGGCGGTGCTGGGCAGCCCGGCGGCTCACAGCGGGCAGCAGCCCGAAACAGCCGGCACGGAGCTGCCCGTCATCGCACACATCGCCCGTCAGCGCTGCTCGGCAGGACGGCAAATCGCGCAGCTCCGCCGGCTCCGCGCTCACATCGGTAAGGCCAACGGGACGGAGCCCAGCGCCGAGCCGAGCGGCGCCGAGCCGAGCCGAGCCGAGCCGAGCCGAGCCGAGCCGGGCCGGGCGGCGCCATCCGCTGCGCCCCGCCGCCCCGCACGGCCGCCCATTGCCGCCATTGCCGCCCATTGCCGCCATTGCCGCTCATTCCCGCCCCTCCCCTCCCCGCCCCCCCGCCCCATCCGCCGCCCCGCCCGCCCCGGGCCCCTCCCCCCTCAGGCCCGGCTCTCCCCCGCAGGCCCGAGCCTAGGCCTCGCCGCCCCGATCCCCGCCGCCCCCGTTCCGCCGCGTTCCGCCCCGCCCTGGAGCGCCGGGAGCTCCGCGGGCGCCGCCCCTCCCCGGCCCGGCCCGGCCGGTTCTCACCTCGCTGCGGTTCGGCGCGGCCGTGCAGCGGGAGGCGAACGGCTCCGCAGCGCACAACAAGCCGCTCGCAGCGCCGCCGGACACGCCCCCCCGCCCCCGCCCGCCGAACGCCATTGGACGCCGCGCGCACGTGTCCCGCGTCTCATTGGTCCGCCGGGCCGTCCGTCTCGCGGCGGCCGCGAACCGCGGGGGGAGGGGCGCCGCGCCGGGGTGGGCGCCCCCGGGAAGAGCGGGACGAAGCGCGGGGCTCCGCGCGGCGCGGGGAACGGCGGCGGGAGCGGGGCGGACGGAGCGCGGGGCGGCGCCGGAAACGGCCGGGCTGCGGCGCTGCGGGGAGGACGGCGGGAGCGCGGCCGGGGGCTGCGGGAAGGGGCTCCAGCGCGGAACTCAGCGCAGCCTCCGGGCGGGGAGGAACGGGCTGGAGCCCGGCCTGCACTGTGAGGAGCGGGGGGGGCTGGAGCCCGGAGCCGCGTGGGCAAAGAGGAGACGGACCTCGAGCCCTGCGCTGCGGGGGGGGGGGAAGGGGCCTGGAGCCCGGAGCCCATCACTGCCCTCTGTTGTAGAGGAAAGGACCTGGAGCCAAGAGGCCGTTACGGCAGTGTGCGAGGAGGAGAAGGACCCCAAGCCCAGAGCCCAGCAGGTGAGCAGGAAGGGGGCTGGAGCCCATTGCTGCCCGTGGTGAGGAGGAAAAAGACCCGAGGCCGGAGCCCAGCGCTGCCTTAAGACAAAAAGGAAGGGGCCTGGAGCCTGGAGCCCATCACAGCAAGGAGAAGAAGGACCTCGAGCCCAGAGCGCATCACTGCCCTTGGATGGGGAGGAAGGGGGCCTGGAGCCCATCGCTGCTTGCTGGCAAAGAGGAAGAGGGCTGGAGCCCAGTGCTGCTCATAGGCAAGCAGGAGAGGGGCTGTTCCTATCGCTGCCTGTGGCTGAGGAGCAGGGAGACCTGGAGCCCGGAACCTGTCGCTGCTTGTGGGTGAGGAGGGGCTGTGCCCATCGCTGCCCTCCCAAACTGATCCTGTCGGAGCAGAGATGCAGACAGCAGCGTGCAGCAGAAGATCCCACGGGACAGCGGTGCCGGCACCTCCCGCCCCTCCGCGTGGGCAGCACAGCAGTGCAGCAACGCCGTGTGTGCACAGCAAAGAGCTGAACCCCGGCTCAGCAGTGAGCTGCCGTGGGAGCCGTGCTGTGCTCCAGGTCCTCCTGCAGGGACCCAATGGGAAGAGCTGAGCCAAGTTTGGGCCCAAAATCCCCCAAAGTAACATCAGAACATCACTACGTTACGTGACGTTATTTTCCATTCACAAACAACACACAATCTGATTTTTCCTTAGCTCAGAAATGTAACTAAAAACCACGTTGGTGCACCGCTGTGATGAGCAGAAGAGCTGTGAGATCAGAGCTACGTGCACCAGACCCAAACCCTGCCCCACAGCTGCCCCATAGACCCCCTGTATGGCAACACACACCCTGCTCTATATGCTCCCATACCCTACCCCATAGGACCCCCTCATAGCCCACCATGTATTCTGCCCCATAGTCCCCATACCCTGTCCCATATATGCCCCCCCATCCGCTCCCATAGCCTGCCCTATATAGCCACCCCATATGCCCACTGCACGTGACCCACACCCTGCCCCACAGCCATCTCCACATAACTCCCATACCCCCCACATACCCCCCCACCCTGCCCCATAGACTCCTATAGGTTCTCCATAACCCTACCCATAGCCCACTGCATATCCTGCCCCACAGACCCTTTATATACCCCCATAGCTCCCCACACCATGCCCCATCTCCCTCCCCACAGACTCCCCATACCTACTTCATATCCTGCCCCATTAAACACCTCTACCCCACCTCATAGCCCCCACACTTTGTCCCATGTACCCGTACAGCCCGCCCCATAGACACCCCATAACCCACCGTGTATTCTCTCACATACCTTGCCCCATAGTAACCCATAGGTCCCCTGCCAACCCTCCCCATGTGCCCCATAGCCCCCATATTCCAGCCCCACCCCCATTTAGCCCCTGGTAAGCCCCGCCCCTTTTAAACCACGCCCACTGTCCTCGAGGCCCTGCCCCCTTCGGGTCCCGCCCCCTTCAGGCCCCGCCCCCTCAGGTGCAGCGCACCAATCGCAGTCCTGGATGCGGAGGCAGCAGGCGCGTGGCCCCGCCCCTTGGCGCCCTCCACAGAGCTCCGCCCCCAGTGCGCTTCAGGCCACGCCTCTTTCCTCCACCGCCCGCAGGCGCAATGGGGCGAGGGCGGGGCCTGCGGCGGGGCGTGGCCTCAAAGGGGCGTGGCTACAATTTGGCGTGTCTTCAAAGGGGCGGGGCTACAAAGGGGGCGTGTCCAGAATGGTGATGGGGTCAGAAAGGGGTCAGGGGGTGGGGCTGGGGTCAATGCAGTCAAATGGACCCCATAACTGTCCCATAGACCACCCATCTACCCTATAGCCCCTATGAATACCCCATAGCCACCCCATAACTGCCCTATAGACCCTATAGTCCCTATGACTACCCCATAGACCCCATAACCACCCCATTGGCCTCCCAACCACCCCATAACTGCCCTATAGACCCCATGGACCCCATAATATGTAGTCCTTATGACTACCCCATAGTCCACATAACCACCCCATAGACCCTCTAGCCACCCCATAACTTCCCTATAGACCCCATTGGCCCCATAATACATAGTCCCTATGACTACCTCATAGACCCCATAACCACCCCATAAATCCCCTAGCCGTGCCATAACTGCACTATAGACCCTATAACCACCCAATGGACCCCATAATGCACCCATGTCTGCCCCATGCCTGTTGCAGGCCCCAGAAGCAGCTGCTCTCGGCCCCATAGGAGCCCACACAGGTGGCACAAGAGCAGTGGTGGTGGCACAGTGTGGGGCTGGGTTGGGGGTGGGGTGAGGGGCAATTAAGAGATATAGGGCTGAGATCCAAAAGTCAGCGTGGGGATGACTCATGAGTGGAGTGGAACCCATAAGAGCAGGGCTGATCATTATGTGTGGGATGGGACCCATAGGTGGCAGTTGGGACCCATAAGTGTGGAGTGAACAGATAAATGGGTGTTGAGACCCATAAGTGTGGGGCAGAAGCTCATTACTCCCCAGTCTCAGCCCCACTGCACCCCACATTCAGCCCCATAGTGCCCTTGGGGCGCTCAGTGGCCATCAGCACCTGGAAATGGGGTCAGAAATGGGAAAATCAGTAACTATCAAAGTCATGCAATGATGCAGAATTCTGAGATCCAAAAAAAATAATCCCAGAATTCCCCAAATCCCGGAATCCTCAGAATCCTACAGCAGAATCCTGAAATCGTGGACTCATGGTGGGATTATGGGGTCCTGGAATCACAGAATCCCACAGTCACTGAATTCCAGATTTCCAGAATCCCCAAATCCCGGAATCTCTAAATTACAGAATCTTAAAACCAAACAGCTGTGGAATCTCAGAGTCCCAGAACTTCAGAGTCCCCAAATCCCAAATTTGGAGAATCCCAAAAACCCAGAAATCCCCAAATCCTCAAATTTTGGACTCCCGGAATGGTGGAATCCCAACTCCACAGCGAGCACCGAATTTCACATTCCTGAAATCCCCAAATCCTCTCCTTCATCCCAACCTCATCAACTAATTGCTCATTAATTATCACTGATTAGCTATTATTTACGACAAAATGACACTAATTACCGATGGTTACCCGAAGTTTCACTAATTCCCCAATACTCCCCTGACCAATTACCCACAATTACTACTAATTACTCATTACTTCCCACCATTTAACCCTAATTACCCCATAATTATGCTAAAATTACCCACTACTACCCCATTACTACTAATTACACATCAATTACCATTAGTTACACATAGTTACCAATTAATTGCCTCTAAATACCCCCAATCTCCCCCAGTTGTCATTGATCCCCACTAATTACCCCCAATTCCCACTAAATCCCACTAATTCCTCCATTTTTACCCCCCTAATTAGCAGTAATTCCCACTAATTATCTCTCAATTCTTACTAATTATCCCAAAATTACCTATACTCCGCACTAATTACCACCACCATTCCCACTTATTCTCACCAATTATCTCCAATTATCACTGATTCCCACTAATTACACCCTCAATTCCCACTAATTCCCCATAATTATCCTTAAATACCCTCAATTACCACTAATTACCCAATTCCAACTACTTACCCCTAATTCACCCTAATCACCCGATTCCTGCTAATTATCCCCAATTCCCACAAAATCCCACTAATTGATCCCCAGTTCCCAACAATTACACCCAATTACCCCCTATTTACACTAACTACCCCGCGAAATCCAATTAATTACCACCATTTCCCACTAATTACCCCCAATTCCTACTAATCATTCCTTATTCTCCCCAATTACCCCCATAATTACCATAAATTACCCCAAATTCCCACTAATTCCTCCCTATTCCCCCAATTCCAATCCCCATAATTCCCTCAATCCCCCAACTCCCCCCAGTTTCCCCTAATTCCCACCTATTCCCCCCAGTTCCCCATAATTTCCCAGTTCCATCCAATCCTCCCATTCCCTCCTGTTCCCCCAGTTCCCAGTTGGGGTTGGGTTAGGGTTGGGATTGAGATGAGGGGTAGAGTTGGTGTTGGGGTTGGGATTGGGTTTGGAGTTAGCTTAGAGTTGAGGATGGGGTTGAGATTGGGCTTGGAATTGGGTTGGGATGGGGTTGGAGCTGGAGTTAGGTTGGGTTGGGGTTGGGGTTGGGTTGGAGTTGGGTTGGGTTTGGGGATGGGGTTGACATTGGGGTTTGGGTTGGAGTCTGGGTTGAGATTGGGATTGTGGTTTTGCTTGGGGTTAGGTTAGGTTTGGGGATGTGGTTGGGGTTGGAGTTGGGCTGGGGTTGTGGTTGTGTTTAGGGTTGGAAATGTGTTTGGGTTTGGGGTTGGGCTTGGGATTAGAGTTAGGGTTGAGGTGAGGGTTGGATTGGGATTTTGGTTGAGATCAGAGTTGAGGATGGGTTTGAATTTGGGGTTAGAGTATTGGAGTGAGGATTGGGGTGGAGTTTGGAGTTGAGTTAGAGTTGGGGATGGGGTTGGGAATGGGGTTGACATTGGAGTCTGCTTTGGATTTGAGGTTGGGGTTGGGGTTAGAGTTAGGACTGGGGATAGGGATGGGGTTGGGTTTGGGGTTAGAATTAGTTTTGGGGTGAGGTTTTGGGTTGGAGTTGGGTTAGAGTTGGGGATGAGGTTGGGATGGGGTTGGGGACAGTTTTGACATTGGGGTTTGGGATGGAGACTGGGTTGGGAACAGGTTTGTGGTTGGGGTTAAGAATTGGGTTGGGGTTGGGGTTGTGATGGGGATGGAGTTGGAGTTGTTTTGGGGTTGTGTTGGGGTTGGGGTTAAGGCTGGCATTAGAACACGCGGTTCTCAGAGCGCACTCAGATTTCCGAGCTGTTCCCTTTCCGTACATTTCTAACCCCAACCCCACACGTGTCCCCACTTCGTCCCTTCCCAGCTTTTATTCCATGTGAAGAAAACCACGGGGTTTCATGTCTGAAGCCTAACGGTGCAGCGTGCGGCTCTGTTCGCTTCACTGCTGTTTGGTGCACAGTGAGGATTGCACAGAATTACTTCTGCATTAAAATTTCTTAGAATTTGCCTGGTCATGATGTTTCATTGCATCCCTCACCCCAACCTAAACTCAAGCACAACTTTAACCCCAATCCCAACCCCAAACCCAACCCTAATACCAATCCAACCCAACCCACCCTCAAACCATCTCTAACCCCAAACCCAAAACAACCCCACTCCCAACTCCAACCCAACCCCAATCCAATCCCAATCCTACCCAACCCCAACACTAACCCAACCCCAACCCAACCCTTAACCCAACTCCAACTCTCACTCCAACCCAACCCCAACTCCAAATCCCAACCCTCACTCCAACCCAACTCCAAACCCCAAACCAACCCAACCCCATCCCTTACACCTCCGTATTTCTCTTTTCTACATGACCTTTTCCTTGAGATGCTGATGCTTTTAGAGTTCCTAAAAATTGAAAACCAAATAACACCACAGAATTCCTTAAAAGAAACATTTTTGCACCAAACTGCATGTTTTTTTCCCTTCCCTTCCCTTCCCTTCCCTTCCCTTCCCTTCCCTTCCCTTCCCTTCCCTTCCCTTCCCTTCCCTTCCCTTCCCCCTCTCCTCTCCTCTCCTCTCCTCTCCTCTCCTCTCCTCTCCTCTCCTCTCCTCTCTCCTCTCCTCCTCTCCTCCTCTCCTCCTCTCCTCCTCTCCTCCTCTCCTCCTCTCCTCCTCTCTCTTCTCCTCCTCTCTCTTCTCCTCCTCTCTCCTCTCCTCTCCTCCTCTCTCTTCCTCTCTCCTCCTTTCTTTCCCATTTTGCTATGAAATTTGAAGCATCAAAGTGTGGCCCTGTGGTCTCCACTTTCACTTTTCCTTTCAGCACCGACCGACCGT